TATATATATATATATATATATATATGATTTAATATGCATTTGTTTTTAATTAAATTATATATAACAATTTTTATAATTATTTATATAAATCCAAGGTTTGATGCCACACCACAAAAAATAAAATGAGAGTGCACTCTGATGAGTAATGACCGTTGTGCACTCCAAATCTAGCAGCAGCCATTAATGATTTTGTTGGTCAAATAAAAATAAATAAAATTCGTATTTAGGTTATATGGGAAAATCTTTATAATTGATGAAAAAACCCAACAATATTTTCATTTGTATTTATAGGAATCAGATAATAAGGTTGTCAAACCAGAATATTTTCTTGTACGAAAAAACAGAGATTTTTTTTCAAAATCATCTTTTCAGTCGTCGCTGAAAATACATAATTGAACATAAACATTTCCATTCAGCCGCAAAGCATAGAAATAAATTCCTCATGTATATATATATATATATTTGTCTATTTTTGTTTTCTCTTTTGATATATTCTTTTTCATTTTTACTCGATTTTCTTTCCAAAATAATGTAAGATGAGTATAGATTCCATATATTATCTATTTTGTGTTTATCTAATTATTAGAAAAGGGTCTAAGCATATCTAAGCGACCTTGACCGTATTAATTTATCCAAGTGTCAAATTATTATTTGAAGTTTGAAAATATTCTGTCTTTTTTCTTCTTCCTTTGAATAATTCTTAAATGTAGAAATTTTCTTGTGCCACGTGTCAAAATGACGCCGGAAAAGTGAGAATGTAAATTCTAAATTATCACATTAACATGCATAATAACATCATGCAAAATATCATATCTATATCCTATACATCCATTACATATTAAATTTATTCTAAAAATATTTAGTCCGAAATTATGTGTTTCCATTCAAACATTAAACAAAAAACTCGAAATTAATTTTTTTTTTGTTGCATCGGTTGTAACTAATAATATATTCTTACAAGTGTTTGCTTTGGTGTCTACAAATCATAAATACCATGTCGGTCAATACTTACCAATAAAAGTCAACGTCATGTTTTTAGAATTTTTTATAAAATGAATATAACGACAAAATCAGTGTCAACCTAAAAATATCTAACAGGACTTTACCCCCCAAAAAATCTAATAGGACAAACTCAAAGACTATAAAATTGTTAAAATTTCATAAGTTATTTTCCAAAATAATTATAATTTTGAGAATTAGATAATGTTTTTTTTATTTAATTAAATTGGGTATGAGAGCAGAGCCCCATGTGAGACTTTCCCTCTTTAGTCGATGCCATGAATATGCAAAGCAAACAGGTACTTTGAGAGTTCATAACTTATATTTGAAATCTTAATAAATGTAAACTAATTTCCATGCTTTTTACAAAAAAAACATATTCACGTAAACGTATGAATGTGGGAAAATTAATAAACGAATAAATAAATAAAATGTGGGCCAAAGAGAAAGAGGCGGTTTTGAGAGAAACCATGGACTTTCCCAGTTTATCTTTCACAGTCGTAAGCTGCTAGTTGTCAATTATATCTCATTTATTTTTTTTAGTTTCATAGTCAGCCAAATATATAATATTTTAAAAACGTTATGATGATTTCGCATTTCATATATTTTTCATGCTCTCATTTAAGATCATATATATATATATACTCATAATAAACTATTCAATATTTATATAAAAATATTAAAATTTAATTATATAATAATGGTTTTCTTCCATGCCTGGCTGTCGTTCTCGAGTCTTATATAATAAGTGTGCATTGGGAAACATTCATATGATAAAGATGAAAACGCAGAAATAAACTATTATTGCTATTTTATAGATTATTTGTGAGATTGTTTCGAACTCAATCTGAATACATTTTCAAAAATGATTTTTTAATTTATATATTTCGAGATAAAAATTATGAAAAAATCATAAATATTTAGAATAATGAAATTAATCAGAATGATCCTTATACATCTTTTTTATTTTTTTTAATTCTAGTTAACACGTTCATTTGGTTTATGAAAAAAATTTATGAATTTTATTTTTTAAGTTTTAAAATTGACATGTAAACGCGCATGCAGGTGGATAAATATATATTTTGTGATTAACATCTATAACAAATTAAAGTTGAAATATTTATTATCATGTGACCGATTTCTGTTTTGTTTTTTAGTACGAACCAATAAAATTGCGAATAACCATTACATTTTTATAATGTAAAGTTGCGAATATTCTTATATTAAAAAACATTACACAAGTAAAATAGTGTGAAAATAAAACAAAAAAAAAATATCTGAAACACGAGCGCTGACGCGGCAGGACGGGCTCAAGTTGATATCCAGCTTTCCTGTGACAGTAAGGATGTTTTCAATATATATATATTGATCAACTGACGCCAATTAAACAAATAATTAAATAAATAATTGGTTAATCTATCAATTAGTCTGTCCGTATTAATATTAATATAAGATCTATTAAAATACGAGTCTATAACCTAAGCCTCTTACAATATACTGTATTCGTCCACATGCACATTGCTTAGTCGTACGATTTGGTTTACATTCTGTCACTTATTTAAACCAAATAAAAAAAACTATATTTGACTTAAATTTATAAAATTACTGCTAGTAGTCATATTTAAATTGTTTTTACCAAAAATTGCCATCTTTAAATGGTTTACCAGAATAATAATAAAAATTACTATACTAAAAATGGTATAATTAATCAAATATGAAATATCTCTACCAATAAATCATAATATATCAATTCGTTTGGAAAATGTAATTTTAAAATTGCTTTTGACTTTTATCATTCAGGAAAAAGAGGAATTAAATAAATGTTTTGACTTTATTAAAAAATAATAATTAAATATATAAAACATGGAGTGGAGACACGTGCTTTGTTACAATTTGATGAACACGCATGCAAAGTACATGATACGTACATTGGATCGGACGAACTTAAAACGAAAAGTCAAACCCAAAATTTTGGTAATATAATAACAGTTAACAGCAATAATGTGTTTTGAATACTACATTAATGACTTTGGGCTACAACTAATCAAGATTTGATTCTTTCAAATTTGTTCAATTCAATTCTTAACTAAATTTAAGTTATCTCCATGCAATACCAATTAGAGTAGATTATATTTATTTACATAAAATTATTCACTTCAAAATTTCAATTTTATTTTAGCTTTTATTTTTCTCATTATTTTTAGATTCATTTCAATTGAGGTAATTTGATTTTAAAAAATATTGTACAAATTTTGAGAATATTATATGGAGAAAAAATATCGGATTAAGTATATTTATATATTACTCCATTTCTAATTATTTTATTTTTACCAGTTAGAGACCCTTGGTGATCGTCGCTCATCCTGCATTATGTATTTTTGGTATAATGAATATGAAAAAAGGAATAATATCTTCCTTCCACTGAGAAAACAAAAAGGATAATATCTTGTGATACATCTTTTAAAATCTTAGAGTTATTCCGATGGAATTTAAATTTTTCTTTCATTATATTTCTAAGATTTGATATATTAGAAATAGCAATCTTTTGTTGAACCATCATACGTGGAACCGTTTATGGTCCATCTAACAATATATGCATAGAATTGTATGTATTCCATACTATTTGCCATTTGGTTCCTCATACATTTCATGTTTTTTTTTTCCCAGCAACCTTAAATCGATGTTTTTTTTTTTGCTATTCTACATTTCCCGCGAGGTATCTGAATATAAACTAAATATGAAAATTTTGTTTTTTTGTTTTTTTTTTTTCGAGTTGACAAGTTATAACTTATAATCGGGTGCAGACCATGTTACACGTGTATAGTAATGCATTAATCACGTGTATGGGCCGAAAGAGAAAACAGGCCTTTCAAGTGTGAAGTTCTTAAACCCATAGCAATCTGACCCACGGGCTGAAACGGCCCGTTTAGCAGCCCATACTAACTTGGGTTAAATAAGCGGAAAACTCGTTATGTACATTTGTAACAAATGGGTTAAAAGAGAATGTACAAATGCAAGATCCATGGTACAACTGTGACAAAGAGGTGCTTCGTAACATCCAAAGGTGCTTAAATAAAGAGAAGCAGAAGGTTAGATTTCTATCTATCACATATATTTTTTTAATTATTAATAAGGACAACAAATAACTCTCGGCAGGATAAAATCCCACACGAAAACACCAATGGACAAACCCAGAAAGCAACCCAAAAAAAAAGATGAACAAAACATAAATCAAAAACCTGTTCGAGAGAAGACACACTCAAAAGATGGCTCTGCCCAAAATCTCCCCATCACATGTAGTAATAAGGGAAACACATATCAGCCTCTTCTTCATCACGGCAATGGCCAGCCACGCCCCTCAATTCTCTTCAACTGTTCGCAAAAAACAAGAAATAATCAAAACCCGAGAACTGCCCGAATCAGAGATCAAGAAATGCAAAGAGATGTATAAAACCTCTCTATATGTAGGAGTAGGTGGGTATTAATCATCCAAGTAGTAGTATGAGCCAGCAGCCTTTTGCTCTCTGTCTTTGGTAGATTCTAATTTGTTGATTCTTGGTCTGTAGTTAGTCGGATCCCGTCTGAACGTGATGTTCAGATGCTGCACGACACCGCATACCAAAATCATCAACATGATTCATGCTCGTAATCTCAAACTTTTATTTTTTTCCTTCTTCTCTTTTTTAACCTCTGCATAAGAAAATGAGGGTTGACAGAAAGAGGATTGGAGACTTACCGATAAGAAGAGGTTCATTCCACTGAGAAGTGACTGAGGAGAATTCGCGGTACAATCAATAGACGGCTGACCTTCGTACACGATGACTCGATCTGCCAAGTAGGTCGCCATGATGAAATCGTGCTCAACGACAAATGCAGTTTTCTTCGCGTGAAGGATGAACCTTTTGATGACTTTAGAAGCGACGATACGCTGCTCCGAATCAAGATATGCACTTGGTTCGTCGATCAGGTAAATATCTGCAGGCTGCAGGGGACAATTTTACCAAAATGGATGACCCATGAGATCACTATGGCATATATATAGTTGCTTCTATGCAACGATTCCTATTGACTTGTGTCCTTCGGATTTTCGTAACGAAATATTTACCTTTCCAAGGCATAAAGCTAAGGCAACCCTTTGCAACTCTCCACCTGAGAGGTTCACAACTTCTTGATCCATCAACTGCTCAATCTGAAGTGGTTTCATCACATCCGAGACGAACTGGGGATGCATATATGAATCACGAATCTTCTGATGCAGCAAATGTCTGACTGATGCTTGAAACTTTGGACTGATCTTTTGGGGCTTGTAAGAAACATTGAACTCGGGTATCTCTGATTCTGATCCTTCAACACTATCGGGTTTCAACAAACCAGCCTGCAGTTTTTAATGACAAGGATACATCAGGAATCCAGGATAGTTATCCAAAGGGTTGTAAACAGCAGAAGGGAGAAAACGAAGGAAAACAATACCAGCATCCGGATAAATGTTGTCTTCCCCGTACCATTCTCCCCAAGCATTACAATAATCTGAGAGTCGGTGAATTCACCTTCCATCACTTTCAGCTTGAAATTTCCTTGAGTTTTAGTCATGGTTGGGTATTTGTATCGGGAATAGGACTCTACTTCCTCCGCATTTTCTTGTGGAGTCTCAGCAACCTAGGAAAAGAAAAAAAAAAAGAAATCGTAAATGACAACAGCTGACAATTACCAGGGAGCAACAGCAGAAAAGGCCATAAAAAAGGTTTACCTTGAATGTCAAAGATTCATCCCTGAATCGTAGATTTTCTGTGGGAACAAACCCAGCCAAAAAAATGTTGATTCCTTCCCTGACAGAGAAGGGAAGGGTCACAACACCATAAGCTCCTGGTTTCCCATACAAGCAACAAATAAAATCCGACAAATAGTCAAGGACACTGAGGTCATGCTCCACAACGATGACATAGCTGCAAAAAAAAAAAAGCGGCAGATTTTAGTACTTCCCAAGGAGTAACTGATATCTAATATGAAACACACAGAGGATGAGAAAACCAAACCTATTTTGCCTGAGCAGAGAACGAACAACTTGAGCAGCTTTCAGTCTTTGTTTCACATCAAGGTAACTAGAAGGTTCATCAAACATGTATATCTCTGCATTTTGTATGGCAACAACAGCGATTGCAAACCTCTGCAACTCTCCACCGGATAAATCCCCAACATTACGATCGATAACCTGGTTCAGCTCCAGATCACGGCAGAGCTCTTTCTTCATATCTCTCTCATCCTTTTGGTCAAGCACCTGTCCGACATTGCCTTGAACAGCTCTTGGAATGTGATCCACATATTGCGGTTTTATGATGGCCTGTCATAAATGAGAACCACAACTTGCTCAATGAACTGCTTAGAGGATACCCAAGCATCTTCCTGAGAGTACACCAAGATCAAGTTCACCATATACCTTCAAATTGTCTTCTAGAATACGGGTAAAATAGTTTTGTAGTTCTGATCCACGGAAGTAAGTCAAAATTTCTTGCCAGTCCGGAGGATTCTGCTCATGAGGGAAATGAAAAAGAATATCAATTTATGTGAGCAATACAATTTAATGACTCGAGTTTAGAAGCTCAGGTTAGGGCATTACACTGAACCGACCCAGATTCGGTTTGAGTTTACCGGCTAATATCTTGAGAGCAGTTGATTTCCCAATACCATTAGTTCCAACCAATCCTAGAACCTGCCCCGGCCTTGGAACTGGAAGCCTGGAAGACAGAAATTCCAAAATCTTAAGCACTAGATGACGGAAGAGCTTTCCAGAAGGTAATAACTGATAAAATAACCTGTGCAATTTAAAAGTGTTTGGTCCATATCGGTGGGTCGTGTCTTTATCCAAGTCTCTTGGAAGGTTGATAATCTGAATAGCTTCAAACGGGCATTTCTGCAATTGTATAATCAGAATTCACACTTAATCTTCCACTTGAGGTAGTTTACATCCTACATCTACAAACACGTATTGCTTATTAGCAATAGCTTCCATACCTTCACACAGATACCACAACCAATGCACAGCTCCTCCGAGATAAAAGCTATCTTGGACGCAGGAGTCACCTCGATACACAGTTTTCCTAAGAGTTCCCAACAGTAAAAGTGTAAGTGGCATGAAAAAAAATATACAAAATTACATTAAAATGTAGAATAAAGGCCGAAAGCAGAAGTATAACAAACAATTGACTATAAACTGCATAATATTTCAAAGGTAGTTGTGTCAACCATTGAGCATACACTATAACACAAACCTAATTAACACAGTAGTCTATTGATATCGAAAGCCATTAACTAAGATTGAAAGAGAATATCCACCTGTCTTGACAACAGGACAGCTCTTCCTGCATTCCTGGCGACATTTCTTCGGCTTGCACCGATCTGAACTCACTATAGCAATTCGAGTCAATCGATCCGCCATCTCTCAATGATCCTGCAAGATACTTATACAGATTTATACTCTCAGCTGCCCCAGAAATCAGAATGACACAACATATTAACACAGCAAAAGATTCCTCACAATTTAACCGCAAGCAGATTGAAATAACCGTAATCAAGTACCCAATAGCCAACCAGACAAATTTTAGCTTAAAACAGAAAAAAGAGAGTTCTCTATAGTCAGGCATGTGCATAAACCTGATAAGAAACAGTATTTGAAAACTTAAGCAATGACTTCGTGTTTGAAGCTTGGAAAAATAATATTTCAGTATCAATACGAACTGGAATTAATACAAAACCACGTTAATGTAAGCATGAACAACGAACCCAAAGAAAATGCATTGACAACCTTAGCTAATACAGGGAATTTGATAATTACAATACAGCATCAACAACTAGCGGAGAAGTAAATAAGAGAACTTAAAGAACTGAAAGCTTCATTTGAGAATTCACATAAAAGCCTGAACCGACATGAATCGTAAAATTACCTGAACAACTTAAAGAACAAATCTGTGGATTTCTACCATATAGATTAGTAAGGAACCAAAAAATTAGCGTATCTGACAGAAAAGTCGACACTTATCAAACGCAGAAAAAAGGATCAAGTGACATGAAGAAAAAATATCCAATCACTTCCGCTGCAATTCTAGGTAACTGAAGCAAAAGCAGCAAGTTTGGTACAACTAAATTCAATCGCGAGTCAATCACTGAACCATATTTATGGAATCGAAAGCTATCTGGCAGATTTCAGCCACAAAAAAGGAATATCAATGATTCTCTGATATGAAGTCGCACGGATGCGAAGGGATTTCGAGATCATCACCTGGGGAAACTGAGAGATTCTGATCGAAGGGAGACGTGGATCGGGATGAAGAAGTGCGCCGACTTTGAAGAATCAGGCGCAAAGCACAGACAAAGGAAGCGTGTACCAAGGAATAGAATTGAAGAACAAGAACGTAATGTTAGGGTTTTCTGGATCCGGCTTCTTTCGGGTTCGACCCGATTCGTTATTTGGGTTTTGTCCGGGTCGGATGCGTGCAGGATTTAGTAGGGCTTGTGGATATACATTAAAAGGCGTTGATGAAGTAAAAAATAATAATGAAAAGCCCTTTCCTTTTCGAAAGCCCTTTTCTATAATTTTGTCAACAATTGTACCTTCCATTTTTATTCTCATATACTTCCAATTTTCCAAATTCATATCACAATATATTTATTTTTTAATAGATTTTTGCTTCGGATAAGATTGAGAATAACCTAAAAAATAAAAAAAGCTTTCGAAAATCATAAACTTTATAATTTCTATATAAAATCATGAATTTTATAAGTTTTATCACATTTCTATATATTTATTAATTTTACGAAAGATTTTGAATTTTGTGAAAATATAACAAGATTAATAAAATTCATGATTTTATATAAAAATTACAAAGTTCATGATTTTCTAAGGAAAATTTTTAAAAGTTCATAAACTTTTTAGGTTATTTTTCATTTTTGTAATTATTTTATATTCAATTTCAAATTATAGCAGGGTCCCAAGCTATATTGTCCAACATAGCACAACAAAGACAAAGCAAGCGAACACAAGATGTCCAACACAAAACCAAATATTACATAAGATAGATAGCTTCACAAATATTTGTTGAGACCAAAAGTGTCACAACTATTTCACACCAAATCCCGAATCAGATATGTATTCTCTTGGAATATGAGAAGAGACTTACAGGCGACGCCACAGGGATTCATCAGATGCAGCATAATTGAGGAATTTACACACAAATGAACACGATACCAGATCCTGTCAGCACATAAAACAGCTTAATATCTACAATTCTGTCAAGAAAGCAGGGAAGATAATAAACAAACACCTCGGACGATAAGAACTTGAGGATATGCGGAAAAATCTCTGGAGGAATCTTGCTGAATCCCCCAGTCTCTATTCTCTTAAGACCCTTGTTATCGTTATTATCATCGGCTATATCATCTCGACCCTTCTTATCCTGTTCCTCTTCGATTTCAACTCTACAAATTTCTTTCTTTTCATTAGTTTCCTCCTTCCCATTTACTTCACCCTTGTCCATACGTGGCCTCTTTGCTTCAGGTTCTTGTTTATCCTCTTTGTCCTCTTCCTACAGCAGAAAAGAACTACAAATTACATTCATCAAACTTCGACCTTCACATAAAGATAGTCGGGAAGCATGCCAGGAAATCTTTAAAAAAATTCCAACAGGATTTCAAGTTCGAGCAGAACAAATAACAGCATAAACCAATTAACCTCGTACTCAAATAAGATAAGACCACACTGAGGAGCGGGATAATAGTCAGATTTCAGATTCGTTGACAACGCATCGGAAAAAAATTTAAAATTATCATGCAAATATCCAAAATTTAAAGGAAATCAATTACTTATACATAGAGAAAACTAGAGAGAATTAAGGATCTCTACAACTCCAGATTGGCATCAAGTCGAATGGAGTTGGTCGGAGAAGCGAGAATAAAAAAATCGCAAAGCAAACAAAACACGAGAAACTCACGACACGACTGAAGATTCATCACTAAAATCGAATGGCGTATTGCCTAAAGGAGAAAAACCCCATTACTCACACGAGAATCAAAACAAGATATATGAAGAAGAATTCAAATATTGAAAAAGAGTTACCGAAGAGACTTCGGCCGATCACTTCCACTTCTTGAATTTCCCTCCGAACATGCCGTGTTTCCCGTGCTTGAACTTGCCGTGCTTCCCGTGCTTGAACTTTCCATGCTTCCCGTGCTTGAACTTGCCGTGACCATAGCCGTAGCCATGGCCATGGCCATGGCCGTACACATGACCATAGGGGTTGTGGGAACTATGGGCTACGTGGTGAGCTCCATAGGCAGCTGCAGCTGCTCCAGCTGCGCCTGCTACCATGGCCCCGAGCCCTCCATGCCCTCCATGTCCTGAAAATGGGGTGTTATTACACGAAAGTAACCAAAGGAGCAAACTTCGTAGAGACGATAAAGTTTACCGGATGATGGTAAACAAAAAAAAAACATGTATTGAGCACTGAATCCATTGCTATGTAACTCTGATTAAACATCAAGCAACACCTTAGTGGTCCATAAATGGCCAAAGGGTTAAATATCTCTGGACACCTTATATACGGACGACTAAAAAACAGAGGGCAGCACTAGAATAGAAATTTCATGAATTTGGTTCAGGTCCATGAAATAGTTAAGAAATATTTAACATGTCAACAGTACAACAAACTACATGTGGAGATGGATTAGTTGAATATACATACCAGGAGGGTGCTGCCCGGGATAACCGGCATGAGGATACGCTCCGGGAGGAGGAGGGTATGCCCCGGGAGGATATCCTGCGGGAGGATAGCCTCCCGGAGGAGGGTAACCTTGAGGCGGGTAACCAGCGGGTGGATACGCTCCAGGAGGCGGTGGGTAACCAGCGGGTGGGTACCCATGAAATCCTTTGTCTTGGTCACCATGCTTGTCCTTGCCACCTCCCATGTTTTCTTTTTCTCGATCAGCAACAATACCTACTGGAACATAACACCAAGGTCATTTGATCAATGTAACACATTTAGTTGCTAAACTCGAACTAACTAACACTTGCCATGGAATTCTGGAAACTTAATTCAGATCACAGCAATTCAATTGATCCATCAGAGTCAAAATGAGATATGTACACAGTTCTATCTTGAATTACAAACACGTGGAGGACACAAAGGCATCAGCAACTGGACAAACGAGATGAATAAATAAAGTCGATTCTTTCTTCGAATCAACAACATCTTCTCGTGTTCACAGATCAACCTCCAATCACCATTTCCAAAAGCAAAGATCGCGATTCTGTTCGGGAATACGGAAAATCAAAGTATCCACACGCGTATAAAATGCACACAAACACATACCGATATACACAACGAACCCTAAAACGGATCAATGTGCCGAAATCGATATTCTTACGGAACCAACCGAAGTCGATTCGATCAGACAAATCAAACAACGGAAAACCCAACACGGAGCGGACGAGTAAAAGCTCCTAACGAGCGAAATCAGATCACGGCGTATAAATACAACGATCAAATCGAAGAAACACACATTACCAAAGATAGAGAGTTTTACCTGAGAATCGCGACGAAGAAAGTCAGTTAAAGAGGGGATAAAGAATGTCTTGAATTTATAGATATCCGCGTGCGCGTATAGATATTTATTTTCTTACTCGCGACGTTTTCTAAATAAATAAGTAAATAGCCTTTCTTTTTTCGGTCCTCATATTTTAGTAAGAATCACAATCTGACACTCAAGTTTTCAAAATACAATCACGTCCATAAAATAACTAATCCTGGGAAAATAACGAATTTTCTTTTGATACAAATAAGCAAGCACGTTTCATGAGCAATCCGCACAACAAATTACAAATTAGAAATTTGCGTACTATCTAGTTATTATATTCCGTATTCGTATAGTACTTGAAAAAAAAAAGAGAATATCATTAATCTAGAAATATAACTAAAAAAACGTAAATTGAATTGAGATAATCAGATACGTCTGAATCTGATTATTAAAAAAATGGAAAATAAACTTGGTTTGTGCTTCAAGGTGTCAAGAGTGAAAACAAACGGGGAAGATATGATATTTTACAAAAATAAGAGGGTCACAGTAGAAGATTAAAAAAACTTCGAATAAGGGGGGGAAAGAAAAGAACGAATAAAAATCAGGCGTCGTGAGGACGCGAAATGGACGCGGCTTTTACGAATAAATGGCTGGATGGGTGGGAGACGAACGGCTAATCATTTATTCCACATTTATTTATTTATTATTTTTCTCCCACTTCCGTGGATAAATGCCAAAAGAATCGAATCGAATAGTAATTTAAACAACACCTGTGATTTGCAATTAACAAAACAAATTCTACACTAAAAAAGACAAATGCTACTTTATTTTTCTAACTGCCTCAATTGACTTTCATAAACTCTTATCACATATCATGTCACCAAATGGGATGGGGTTTGGACAAGTTTCATGAAAATTCCGACACAACAACATGCAACAAGGCCGAAGGAAACGCACAAGCAGTTGTAAAATTTCTAAGGAAAAAGTTACACAAATGTAGAAATACATACATGCACTTAAAAAAAAACTCCAAAATACTAAAAAAAAAACAACTACTTGATTCATAAGATGTATGAAGTCACTCCATAGTACTCGGAAGAAAGATGGATATGAAGATTAGACCTCACCGAATGAGAGCGGAGAGCCGAGACTTATGATCAGCAGAACCTCAAGGTACGCTCCAGTTCCCGCTCGTCCACGCAATTGTATCCCAACAGGTAGGCTCGTGCTGTCGCATAGAAGAAAAGCTCCATCCATTAGAGATGCGATACAAAGAGAATGACAAAACTCGGTTCAGTTCATTACCAAAACGTCCCGATCCCATGAATGGTTCAGCTTCATCTGTCACTCCGCTTTGTTGTTGGTCCTGAAACGGTTTTTTTTTATAAGAATAAGAACATGTTAAGCACAGTACAAGTCTGGAGAAGATCTATACATTCATACGAGAAAAATCGCGACTGAATTTCCGATAAAAGTAGATCCTAGTCCTCAAGAAACCAAACAGAAGTAGCATTTTGCGCTTGTTGATCAGACAGATCAAGTTCCTTAGTCAGTTCATCTCACAGACTTGGTATGCGATGCTTAGAAATAAAACGTTGCAGAAAAGGTTTGATTTGGGTGATACTGCTTCCCAAAATCAATGGGAACAGACGACAATGTTTGGCATATCACTAGATCAAATGTAAGATGCAAACATAATGCAACAGCATTGAAATTTCTGTTGATTGGGCAGAAAAAATATGAAAATGTTTGAGAGCCTTTTTCCTAGTGGTTAAGGGCAGGCACTTTTTCCGGTTCAAGTTAAGACAATGAAACAGATGTTTGAAAAAGCAGGGAGGTATTCAGCTCGTAGTTTTACTTACAGCATCAGCTTCTGCATCAGATGGTAAAAGCAGCCTATCAAAGCAATGGCCTGAGATAGTACAGACCAATAGTTCACTCTCTGGGTCCAAAATTACTTCCTTGCAATTGTCATCGCACACTGTACAAAAAAGAAACAACATATAGTATAGGACCCGTGATGTTCCAGTTCACGTCTCGTAAATAAGGCAACACAAGCATTGATTTACGGTGACAGCATTTCAAAAAGGATTTCACCAGAATCTCTATCTTACCATGAACATTTCCCGTCTCCTCACATATGAACACGTCATCAATCTGATGGTAGGAACATTTTGTCCCGGAACAGACATGACCAGCAACAGCCTTATCACTTAGCCCCTTGCTTTTCTTCCACATTGAAACTTGTTCAAGTACAGTTTTGTCAAGAATAATCCGGTCATCCACCACCTTTACATCGCAAACAAAAACGTTGACATATATTAAGAGATCAGACACATATGCACGAGTTTTAGAAACCAACTATGGAAACAGGCGCTGTCAGGATCATGTGCAAAGGAATACCTGGGAAGGGAGAGGTGCTTGGCTTCTCTTTGCCGCTTGCATTTGGATGTAATACTCTTTAAACTCAGAGGGGCAGTTTCTGACAAGTTCAATCATGTCCTCCTCGTCACGCTGCCAAAACACGAAAACAAAGGAATCATATCAACAAAATAGCCAGTTGGCATAAAAATTTACGAAACCATTTCTTCGAAAAAAAATTATGTGGAAACTAAAGTTTTCAAAAACATTTGACAACAAATATGCCTAATTAAGAAACTCACCTGAATATAAAGCTTCTTCCAAGCACATTCACGCAACTTTCTAGTCGGGGGACATACACTCCATCGCATACAGTACCTGCCAATGACCAATCAGACCTATAAACTTTCATGTCTGCGAGGCCCTTGAAACATCAGTGAGTTATCCCTGAGCATAAGTACTGATTCAATTTTAAATGGAAACAAGAAGAAAACAATGCCTCATTCTGGCTTGGAATATGAGAAGAGACTTACAGGCGACGCCACAGGGATTCATCAGATGCAGCATAATTGAGGAATTTACACACAAATGAACACGATACCAGATCCTGTCAGCACATAAAACAGCTTAATATCTACAATTCTGTCAAGAAAGCAGGGAAGATAATAAACAAACACCTCGGACGATAAGAACTTGAGGATATGCGGAAAAATCTCTGGAGGAATCTTGCTGAATCCCCCAGTCTCTATTCTCTTAAGACCCTTGTTATCGTTATTATCATCGGCTATATCATCTCGACCCTTCTTATCCTGTTCCTCTTCGATTTCAACTCTACAAATTTCTTTCTTTTCATTAGTTTCCTCCTTCCCATTTACTTCACCCTTGTCCATACGTGGCCTCTTTGCTTCAGGTTCTTGTTTATCCTCTTTGTCCTCTTCCTACAGCAGAAAAGAACTACAAATTACATTCATCAAACTTCGACCTTCACATAAAGATAGTCGGGAAGCATGCCAGGAAATCTTTAAAAAAATTCCAACAGGATTTCAAGTTCGAGCAGAACAAATAACAGCATAAACCAATTAACCTCGTACTCAAATAAGATAAGACCACACTGAGGAGCGGGATAATAGTCAGATTTCAGATTCGTTGACAACGCATCGGAAAAAAATTTAAAATTATCATGCAAATATCCAAAATTTAAAGGAAATCAATTACTTATACATAGAGAAAACTAGAGAGAATTAAGGATCTCTACAACTCCAGATTGGCATCAAGTCGAATGGAGTTGGTCGGAGAAGCGAGAATAAAAAAATCGCAAAGCAAACAAAACACGAGAAACTCACGACACGACTGAAGATTCATCACTAAAATCGAATGGCGTATTGCCTAAAGGAGAAAAACCCCATTACTCACACGAGAATCAAAACAAGATATATGAAGAAGAATTCAAATATTGAAAAAGAGTTACCGAAGAGACTTCGGCTTCGAGGAACCTAGCGAAGAACTCGTCTTCATCATCGGAGAGAGACATGATGCCGGATCGGGAACGATCGGAGCTCCGGCGAATATAACTGGCGGTGGCCAATCTGCGGCGAAACAGGGATGGAGAGATGACACGCTTTCCGTGTGCGCGTTGGAATCGGTCGGTGGCGTGGGAATGAGAGCTGATTCCGGGCCGGGCAATTCAATGGATGGGCCTCCAAAATTTTAAATGGGCCTTCTAATATTGTTTGTTGGTTCGGTTTTATTGTGATAAACTAAGCCCACTTTAGGCCCAATCCTATATAACTTGGAAAACTATAAATTTATCATTAATCAATTGTTTTAGATCTATAATAAAAATCATATATGTAAATATAGACCTTATATAAAATAAAATAGCTGAATTTTTTAATAAATATAATGGTTTAGGATTTTTAACAGAATATATGTGAATTTTAATTGAGCCATCTTTGGATTTGGAATCGATTACAATCCGGAATTCCAAATTAGAGAGATAGGAAGCATAGAACAGGGGATGAGAATTTTGTTCGGACAAATCTCAGACGTAACATGGAGAAACACAACACGACAAGAACTATGGCATGCGATCTGTGCATCCAATGGATTCGAGTTTCTTCAACTCATTCGTCTGCTTCAGCATCCGATATATGTATAGAATTTGTTTCGCAATTGGATAAAATTGAAAATTATACATCAAATATGAAAATAACATAGTTTTAAAACAACTTCTATACTCTCAATAAATTATGTTAATACTAGGAAGTTAAGATGTATTACAAATATTAAGAAGCAAAAATAATATTTATAACTTATATATTTGTATGGTGTTTGTTTTCTAACGTATTATTTTATTTTTTTTATTATGCTATTTGTATTGTTTCTTTATATTAACAAACATAGAATCAATTAGAGTTTCGAAACAATTGAAATATAGGATATAGCCTTCTATGTAATATTTGATTTCTTACCAACAATTAGATTTAGAAGTGGTTGAAGATTGCCCAATTTTTTTGAAATATATTCATTTTTGTTCACAAATTTATGCATTTATTAAGGGTGAAGAAAGGCAAATATCAAGAATAAATTATATATTCATGAATCCATTTATTAATTTGTAGTAATCTGTTGGATCGTAAAATTTTATATATTTAAATTCTTTAAAAGGGAGGTGAAGATAATAATAATATAGAAATAGAAAAAGAGAGAGAAAAAAAAAGAGAACAGATTTTGTCCTTTTTTTTTTGGTTAAAAACAAGGTTTTGTTCTTAAGTTATCTAATCTTCCGTCTCTTTCACAGATAACGAGAGATCGGAGATTATGGCGTCGCCGGTGATCCTCAATGGCGGAGGCGTGGCGGAGAGGCACGCAAGTGTGGCGCATGCCTCCATGGCCATGGTTCAGCTCTTCTATGGAGGGTACCATGTAATTACCAAAGTAGCCCTCAACGTTGGGGTCAACCAGCTCGTCTTCTGTGTCTGTCGTGATCTCATAGCTCTCTCTATCCTCGCGCCTCTCGCTTACGTCCGAGAAAAGTATCGTCTTCTGTTTCTACCTCTTAATTCATTTCCCTGTTTTCGTATCGGTGAATCTGCAATCCGTTAAATTCCCATCGCTTTCCCGGAAAGTTTGGTTTGTTCATAATGGATTGGTGCAATTTGAATCAGGGATTCTCACTGGAGAAACATTTTCTTTGGTCAATGAATGAATTGAAAGACTGGATTTTTTTAAGCTGAATTTGGTGTACATTACTGGGTTTACATCTCATTTACGACCAGACCAGTGTTATTAGATCTAACTTGGGATCACCTTGTTGAGTTTCTCGGGAAGATGCCCTTTCATTTTCATGTCTCTAGATTTGAATGCTTGTGTTCATTGTTTGGCGCTCCTTTCCTGTTCTGTTCTTGCATTTGCCTAAAGTCTCATCATTTTTCTTCTGGGTTTGCTTCTTGAAACTTGGATCAGGTTTTACAGATCTCACCTCGTCTAACGTCACAAACTTTGTTAAGTGATTGTAAAAGTTAAAAGATAATTGATTTATTTGGTGCTTTTCTTCTCTTTTTCGATCGGGTTTCCAGAACTAACGAAGGAACGATTCTTGTTTCATGTTTTGCAGACGAATTAGAACTCCTATAAACAGACACCTCCTCTTATCATTCTTGTTTCTGGGCTTAACAGGGTAAGAAGTAATCTCCATCCGCTATCAATGTTTTGCAATTATGTAATGAAACCTTTACGTGTTTAACATCCCCATCACCACTTGTTCTTAATCTTGATAGGATATTTGGCAACCAATTATTATTTCTTATCGGTCTAACATACACAAATCCAACTTATGCCGCTGCCATACAGCCATCTATCCCTGTATTTACCTTTGTCTTGGCCATGATAATGGGGTGAGTATAACTCTTTCCTTTACACTTATAGCAGATTTTTTCGTCAACCATCCCATAGTTGGGAGTTCTTACTCTTTTTAAGATGTATCAAAATATGAAATGTGACATTAAAGCATGAAGAAAAGGGCATCTTTAGCTGTTTTTATCTTTCGATGTTTGATGTCTCTTACTTTTTATGCAGTACAGAAAGGGTGAATTTGTTCAGAATCGAAGGTCAAACTAAAGTGGGAGGTATTCTTGTGTGTGTTTCTGGTGCCATATTGATGGTTCTATTCCGGGGTCCAGCCTTGTTTGGAGATACGGATATGGACTTTGCAGTGAACAGTGAAATAAGTGCTAAAGGTCAGCCGGAGCCTACAGGGTGGTTAGTCTCTAGCTTTCTCAATCTTGGTCTTGAGCAATGGCACATTGGAGTTGTATGCTTGATTGGAAACTGCATGTGCATGGCTGCTTTTCTTGCCATCCAGGTAATCCTTGCATGAATATGAATGGTTGACCATACACTACTGATATAAAACACATGATTAAGGTTTTCAACCTTGAACATATAATGGTTGCTGTTCTAGGGGTAGTCAATAGGGGATCCCCTTTTTGTGTTTCTTTATACTATGAATTTTCTCTTTTTTCTTGTTTATAACAACGGCAATATGAAAACTTTCCCAGGCACCAATTTTGAAGAGGTATCCTGCCAACCTTACTGTTACGGCGTATTCGTACTTCTTCGGTGCATTATTGATGGTCGCCACAGCTTTCTTTATGGTTAACGAACCAACAGATTGGAATCTGACTCAATCTGAGATTCTTGCAGTTATATATGCGGTAAATTCCCCTGCTAGTTCTTTGTGAGCTTTGTACATGTTTCTCACTAAGGGAGGTGTAAAAGTTACATCTATCCCCAACCTGACTCCAAATCAGTTGTCTCTGTGACATTTAGATTATAGTTAGTCTTACAGGTACGTTTAGTGTGAAAGATTAACTGATTATGGTCATTAAACAAATTCAAACATTAGCCAAGGAGCTACTTTGTTATGCAAGAGACTTCTGACATGATTTATCTGGGTTCTGTCGTTAGGGAGTTGTTGCTTCAGCATTAAACTATGCAGTCCTGACTTGGTGCAATAAAATTCTGGGACCTGCTTTGGTATCTCTCTACAACCCTCTTCAGCCCGCGGCATCTGCCTTCCTATCAAGAGTTTTCCTTGGGAGCCCTATTTATTTGGGAAGGTCAGGGTCACCATCTCTAACACTCCACACTCCACACCTTAATCTCAATACGAATCTCAACCTGGGTTTGTTTTTCTATCCCCTCTTTTGGCAGCATACTCGGTGGTTTCTTCATCATATCCGGGCTGTATATGGTCACATGGGCGTCTTATAGAGAACGAAGAACAGCTCCCGGGACTGCTCCTCATGTCACAAGGACCTCGGAACCTCTGATTTACCGAGATGGGACAGGGAGTCGGATAGGACAGATGTTTTCTGGATTGTCAAGTTCTTCTGTGAAATCTGCAGACTAAGCATACGGCAAAGATTCTGCCTTCAGACCACAACCATACAACAGCTTTTTAACATTACAGTCAGACCGTATGTTTCTTTCATCTCTCTTTTCTTCAATCTTTGAACTGAAATAGTTTTATTTGTTGCCAATGGGTACACTGTATTGTCCTCCTCCAATTTTATTGATGAGAGCAAATTGTTTTTGTATCTTGACATGGGAATTGAAGAGATTACTAGATTTAGGATCCCCTATGTAGCAAGTCTCATAACAGTATGTATATTTTGTATTGGTGACACCGACCAGGTTGAGGTTATTCTGGTCGCAAGCATAACAATAGCGGCAATATTGCAAATTGCATAAAGAAGTGGGTGAAATCGCAATTTAAATATATGCACACACAAAAAAACTGTGAGCTAACCATAGAATTACAAACAAGATTAAAAAGACTTTAGAGTTAATCTAAATTGTAAGAAAACGATTGCGTATAAAACTAACAGAAATTTATCAAAACAAAACTCTAAGCAAACAATGATCACTTCTTTAAGATTTTGCAAATTGCCTCTTATTTTTACAGATATTGCAAAACCTCCCTAGAAATTGACGCACAAACAAAATGTGCATCTGCTCCAAAAAAAAAGTGAAAGGAAAAAAAACTATAGAACAAAGCTTGACGTCTTTTTCCTTGATTTTGTGGTACAAAGGAAAAACGGATCTCTCTCTTCTTCTTCTTCTTCTTCGTGTTCTTTGGTCGCTGTCGAGAAGTTTCAGTTCAATATCCGTCAGATCTGCGGAAGATTTCTCGGTTTTCTTATATATAGACGACGATACGTGGAGGCACTTAACGTATTGTGCTTTGAAGCTGCAGTGTAGGACGAGATCTGCAACTGGAGGGCATTGAGCTCAGGAGTTTGTTCGCCTCTGGTTTTGTTCTTCGTTGTACGTCAATCAATCTCTTCGATTCCTACCCTAGTTTTCGTATTTCGTGATTCAGTAGGAGGGTTATTTTTGCAATGTCGATTTAGCTGCGGGCGGATCACTCCTGTGATTTGTTAAGCAATAGAGTTCCTTTCTGTGATTTTCATTTGGAAGATCAAAACCCTAGAAATTGTGCATCTTGCCGGGTGCATTCTGATTGATTTTGTGTACTTAACATTGCCCGCAGAACAAGGAAGAATCCGAAGAATTTTCTGGGTTTCTGTAGTTTTGACGGATTCGAATTGGATTGGCTCTTCTGAATGCGAGACGACGGAGAGGGTTCTGTTAAGTTATTTAGCTCCCGTCTGTAGCCTCTACAACTAGGTCTCTGGTATAACAATTTGAGGTACATGTAGCCAAGGAGAGATGGTTTTCGGTAGGATCACGGAACTTTTTACTGCTGCGTCGAGTCGATTAGCAGCAGGGTCGCAGTCTTCTTCTGGTCCATACATGCCTACTGGGTCATCGCCTGATACAGGAGCTTCAGCGTCCAATCCTTTCAATTTCGGTAATGCTGGACGAAAGAATAGCTTGATGAGACTTTCTGCATCTCTACAAGATTTCACTTCGTATCACGGGGTTGATCCTGAAGGGGCTGGTCTTACACGGGAAACTAACTCGGACAATAAGCGGCAGAACATATCATGGGGACAAAATGCATCTAGTTTCTCCAAGGATAAAGGATTGCCGAATGGATCCTCGTCTTGGCGCCGCAAGTGGATCCGGGCTGCTATGATCTTTCTGTGCATATTTTTGTTTGCTTTTCTGGTGTATATAGTCTCCATGTATATTTATACAAATTGGTCACGGGGAACGTCCAGGTTCTATGTTGTTTTCGATTGTGGAAGCACAGGGACTCGTGCATATGTCTATCGGGCATCCATAAATTACGAGAAAGACAGCACTCTCCCCATTGTTATGAAATCGTTGACAGAAGGTCTTTCGAGAAAGAGCAGTGGCCGTGCTTATGATCGGATGGAGACAGAACCTGGGTTTGATAAGCTGGTCAACAACATGTCCGGCTTGGAAGCTGCAATAAATCCGCTTATTCAGTGGGCAGAGAAGCAAATCCCTAAACGTGCTCATAGAACCACGTCTCTCTTCGTATATGCTACAGCGGGAGTTCGGAGGCTGCCAAGTTCTGATTCAAACTGGATTCTGGATAATGTTTGGTCTATACTGGCAAAGTCACCCTTCATTTGCCGGAGGGAGTGGGTTAAGATCATCAGTGGTACAGAGGAAGCGTACTTTGGATGGACTGCTCTCAACTACCAAACAAGTATGCTGGGGGCTCTACCAAAGAAGGCGACCTTTGGTGCTCTTGACTTGGGTGGTTCATCGTTGCAAGTTACCTTTGAGAATGAGGACCAGACACATAATGGGACCAACCTTAATCTCAAAATTGGAGCTGTTAACCATCATCTCAGTGCATATTCTCTCGCGGGTTATGGTCTAAACGATGCCTTTGCGAGGTCCGTTTTGCAGCTTTTGAAGGGATTACCGAATATCAGTAATTCTGATTTGGCTGGAGGCAAATTGGAAATGAAGCATCCATGCTTGAATTCTGGCTACAAGGAGCAATACACATGTACTCAATGTGCTTCCATTGTCCGAGGAGGCAAAAAAGGCAAGTCAGGAATCCCAATCAAGCTTATCGGTGCTCCAAACTGGGAAGAATGCAGTGCATTGGCAAAAAACGCTGTCAATTACTCGGAATGGTCGAACACAAAGCACGGAATTGATTGTGATTTACAGCCTTGTGCGCTTCCCGATGGCTATCCTCGTCCCCATGGTCAGTTCTATGCTGTGTCCGGGTTCTTTGTGGTGTACCGGTTTTTTAATTTAAGTGCAGAAGCTGCCCTTGACGACGTCCTGGAGAAGGGTAGGTTATTTTGTGAGAAGCCATGGGAAGTAGCGAGAACCAGTGTTCCTCCACAACCCTTTATCGAACAATATTGCTTCAGAGCACCATACATAGTCTCGCTGCTTCGAGAGGGTTTGTATATCACAGACAAGCAAATCATTATCGGGTCAGGAAGTATTACTTGGACACTGGGGGTGGCTCTTCTCGAAGCAGGGAAGGCTCTGTCTCCTACATTGGGACTGAGGAGTTACGAGACTCTGAGCATGAAGATAAACCCGATAGTCCTTATTTCCGGTTTGCTAATCTCGTTGCTTTTGCTCATTTGCGCGCTCTCACGTGTCAGCAACTGGATGCCGAGATTCTTCAGAAAGTCTCATCTCCCACTTTTCAGACACAATAGTGCATCGGCTGCATCAGTTCTCAATATCCCGTCCCCTTTCCGGTTCCAGCGCTGGAGCCCTATCAGCTCAGGTAAGCAAAAGCACTATCCTGCACATTATGGGCATGCCACCACTGCTTATTGGATTGGATTCTAGATTCATATCTGTAAATTTTTGGGAAACTCTAGGGGAAGATATTGATTCTCAGGTTTTCTTCTATCAGGGGAGGGAAGAGTAAAGACACCGCTGAGTCCAACAGTGAGGGGATCGCCGAACAGGGCATTTGGGTTTGGGCATGGGCTAGGAGGGAGCAGCATCCAACTGATGGAATCGTCCTTGTACACAACGAGCAGCAGTGTGTTGCATAGTTATTCGTCTGATAGCTTAGGGGAAATGCAATTTGACAGCGGTAGTTCTTTCTGGTCTCCTCGCAGGAGCCAGATGCGTCTCCAGAGCCGTAGATCTCAGTCTCGTGAAGATCTCAATTCATCGCTGGCCGATGCTCACATTGTTAAGATGTAGTTCCTTTCCTGGCTGGAAGCTGCCTTTTTGGTATGGTATCACCCCTTTCTTTCTTTTTTATTGTCGATACTTAGTATCATCATGGAAAAAGAAAAAGACCTTGAGATTTTCTGCGAACAGATCTTTCTCTTGTTTTTGTTGACACGTGATTCTTTCTATACCATGATACAGCAGAGGCTTAGATGAAAGTTAACCTTATAGCCCCTCATTTTTCGACCATCACGCTTTCCTTCTGGTAATCCCTTACCATATCCACCTTGTTCAGACAAAAGTTTCTTGAGAACATAGTTTATGCATGTGCATGATAAATTATCAATGCCTTTTTTGTCTTCTACTGGGTGGTTTAACCATGATTATGCGATCTGTTCCGTACAAGGAAACATTAATCAAGTGATTAGTTTACTCCTAATTATGGAAGACCCGTCATGACCAAATTCGTATTTCATATTTTGAGACCCTATCATTCGGATTTCGGTTTAGTATTTACCAAATTTGATTCAGGAATGATTTATTCGGTTTAATAAAAATTGTACCAAACTATAAATTAATGTTAATAGAACCGGTTCGGTTTTGATTTTAATATCGGCTCAAAATGGAATAGCAAACAAAAACTGAAATTTGATACTTAAGTGTGCACTGATATGATTTAATTCGGGTTTCGGTTCAATGAATAATATTCGGTTCTAGTCTAGAACCGAATACTATTCCATTTTTATTTGCATTGGACCGGTTTTGAACCAAATTACCGAACCAAAACGCTTGCACGATTTGATAAGTGAGAGGAGAACGGAGTTGTATGATGGAAGAGAAAGTAGACAGACGAGTTTTTTTTTTCTGACAAAAGACAAGGAAGGCAGCGGAAGCTGTCCCACAATGTCCAAAAACAAACTTACTACAAATCTGAAACAGAGTGAAGAGTGTTGAATATTTACAAGAGGAAAGGTAGAGACAAAGATTCTTCAGGGAACAGTCAAGGGAGTGGAGCCAAAGGACTTCCATGAAGATTCAAGACGCAGAAGATGAAGTTTCTCAACAAAGGGCTCCAAAATATCTGCCTCTTCCTCCGGTGCAAATGCCATGCATATGCTCAGTTCTTGCACCGCCTCCCCATATTGCCTGTCAATCCCCATTCCATCAGTTTTTTTAAAAAAAAAAATTGGAATCAATTTATGGGTTTTTTTTTTGTCATTGATACGGCAACAGAGTAATACCTGTTGTAATACAGCATCATCCCATGGTCTCTGCGAAGTGCCCAGTTATGTGGCTGCAGAATCAACAGTCTCTCCGATGCCATGATGGCCAACCTGCACATTAGGATCAGACCCATCATCAAAACCAAAGCCATTAAACTAAAAAAACTGTTCCTTTGTCGAGTGATAACAAAAAAAACTGTAATTACCCAAGATCTTGAGGCCGAAGCAAAGGAACATTAGAACTACTGATATTGTTAAGTTGTCTAAGGGGAGATGTCAGCATCAGTCCATGGCTGGACCTTGAAGCACGCCTCCAATGAAGTCTCTGCAGTATTCAGGAAACTTTATATTAGGATAAAAAACTGATAATAATCACATCTCGCTCTTTTATTTTTTTAGTTTCTTACAATCAAGTTGGCAAGAGCAATCCCTATAATGTCTCGGTTTGTGGCTATCTCGAGGCCTGGAAGAGATTTTCCAGTCAAGTCCGAAGCCATCGAGCCTGGGTCCTCAACGCACCTCCCATTGACAATAGCAAACAAGCTCTGCCCTGAAGTTACTTTAAAGAGTTCCTGCAAGAACATAACACTCATTACTTCCGGACATATATTAAGGTACCTACAACTTGAGTGATGTTTCTTTTACTTGCTGTGATCACCCACCCACTTCATAGAGATATTCAGTAAATATGGAACATAAGCCAAGAACACTCAAAATCTACCTCTGGATACCCCAATTGGGGCCATATCAAAAAGTCTTCCCCAACTCGAGATCCCACTATTGGCAGACTGAGTCGCCGACAAACTTCAATGTAAATTATGCTAAGCAAAAATGCTGCAAAGAAAAAAAAAAGACCAAGAATCCACTCAATGTTAAAAAGATGCAAGGAACTGAAAGAGGAAATCATCAGAAGCAAAATCGAGGACATTTTTACCGTTGCCGCATCTACAGTTAAGTACGGAGTGAAGGTAGGAATACTTGGGGTCTAAAGCGACAGATGTCCTCTTGAAGCCTCTTAACTCGAATAGAACTACATTTACAGCTTCAAGAACTTGAACCAGGTGGCAACCAATGTCGCGCGAAACTAATTCCGCCTCTACTTCTTTGGAGATCGCGTCCAGCTCGCTCAACCATTCGGATAATCCCTTCCCAGCCAAATTCATCAGCTCCTCGGAACCAGTCTCACTGGGATCAGACTGAGCTTGGGCAGTTTTTCTCTCGTTCTTGAGAGAAAGAGCGTCCTTCTCACGGTTAAAAGCCAGGAAGGCTTCATCTTCAGCAGCAACGAAGAGTAAAGCCTGTATGTATATCCAATCCACAAACAAATGACGGAAAACATCATAGATGGATTCATATGCCACAGGAAAATTTCTTCAAATTTAGTAAAGTAACTAGTGTTAAGTGGGCAAGAAGGTGTTGTCAAAAGCATAAGAACAATGCCAATTCTTTTGAAAGATCACGGGACTTATCATTAAAGCAAAAAAAAGTTTGTCATTACCCATTTCTGTACAAACAGCCTAAGAAAAAGATGGTTTCGAGCAAATTATCAGGAGTTGAGGATATGTACCTTAACAAGAGATATTTCTAATATACCTTTGCAAGCGAAATGTCTCGGTCCTTCGACTGGAAAGAGATCTCTTGGGTGAACTTCTCACGGGCTGTTTTCGCGACCTGCGATTCGATGGGTTCACAGAGGAACGATCAGAAAGCTTAAAACTTGTGGAAACCAAAGCAATCATCCCCGGATTATCAAAGATCTTTTGCTATGCAAGATCTAACGAAGATGGGCAAAAGTCTCGTTAACAAATGAAACCTCTTGGTAATTTTTCGGTCGAGTTGTCTCTTTTGTAAGCTGATTGACAAAGAGAGGGTAAGCGGAAGCTGAGACGGTCCTATTCCGAGGAAAAGGGGTCGTCCTCCTCGCTGAAATCGATTTGTTCATCTTCTTTTCAATTCCAGTCCAAGAACAACGACGTCGATCATGATCATACCTGATGATCGTAAAGAATATAAACGGATGGGGTTTTTCTACCAGAAATCCTTCTTATATGCCAGCAATGAAGCAACACATCACACTAAGCATCGATATCACATATAAATCAACAATCTATGCTTCAGAAAAACTAAAACCTTGTTGAGAGATTGATGATACCCAGAAAAATATAAGCACAGAGAGAGATGAGTAATCACCTGCGGATGCTAGGATCACCGATACCCACGAAGCGGGCAAAAGGAGAAGCCATAGTTGCAGCTGGTGCAGGACCTTGAAAGGCCAAGGAAGATGGTGATGATGACGAACACAGCATGTTGTTTCGGAGAGAAGAAACAACAAAGTGATTCAGAAAAAATTCTGGGTTCAAGACGAGATCCGTTTTTAAGTTCGGAGACGAGATGCTAAAGCAACAAGAGGAGAGAGAGAAAATAAGGGGTCGGCGTCGCAATCATGCTTCACCGGAAGCAGATTTAGAATCGGAGATCAAAGCGTGAGCGATACTACAAACAGGGTAGGGTTTCAGGATACAACTCAAATTCATGGCAATGGCGTCTGGATAATCACTTCCAATACACAATACTGATCCAGCTAAAGAAGAATAGCAATACCCAGATGGAGAAGACGACGAAACAGAACTCGAAGAAGAAGAAGAAAAAAAACGGCAGTCGAAGAAGAACAAGCGAGAATTACCCAGTTCCATAATACGGTCAGGAATTCGAAAACCCAAGACGAAAACACCGATACTGCTGGAAAATGTACTCCGATTAAACCCAGAGAATTCTCGAGAAGACAGAAGAAAATAAGGGCTGGAGCATTGTTTCTCAGTGGATTCGAGGTGGGTTTCAGAGAGAATGAATCTAGGAGACTAAAAGAAAATTATCAGGAGGAGGATTGGATCTCAGTCTCCTTCTACGGTGGTAATGGCGGATTTGGTGAAGAAGATGAGAGGGTTTATAAGGCTGAGGTTCGGACACAAAAGTTAAAAGGTAAAGGAGAAGATGACAACAGTTGTTACATTAGTAAATATTTATTTTCCCTAAATTACTCGCTTCCTTTCCAATTTTATATTACTCCTAAAATTTTATTTAAAAAAAAAAGAAAATGGTTGTATTTTCATTCAATTAACCATACAGATGGCTCTAGATTTCTGGCGTTTCGTCCACAACAGTACACGTCATCTACTTTTGTCTGCATCATGAATTAACTATTTCGGAAATTAAATTTGGCTGCCTAATTTGTTAGGATCTAATCTTGATAAACTTAAAATGATTATTAGTACCACGACATTATTTAATACTATTAATAGTACAATTATTCTAGGTTTTCAATAATTCTGATTTTGGTTTCGTAGCTCGTACAACTCTAGAGACTTATTCTGAACATAATAAATAATTTACAAAATTATTTAACCAAATTTATTAATTTACATGAATTAGTTTGGTAATTAAGATTAATTATATATACAGAAAAATTCAATCTGTAATTAATAGAAGTAATTTGTTTCGTAATATCAAGTAGGTTGTATGCAAGAAAGATGCATGGTTCATACCGATAATCTCTATTATTATTTTTTTAAAATCATATTCTTTCTGTGAGGTCTTTTAGAATAATTTCCCATTGATCGTTTGATATACAAATTGATTATAAAAATTACAGTATTACAATATTATTATCAGTTTATATTATTCAAGAAACAAATAGTTTAATCTATAGTTTTAAAAAAAATGTAGAAATATCATAACCGCAATTTGAATTAATTGATTGATAAATTATAGAAGCCTATATTTTAATTCTAATATTCTATAGTCGATCGGAATATTCCGTAATCTAAATTAAAGGAAAATCCCAAAATTACGGAATAAATATAACCTAAATATGCACCTCAAATAATTTTTATTCCTAAACCTAATTTGCAAGAAAAACAAACAATAATGGAAGATTGCTTTTTCTTTTTGGTTTCCCTCTCTTATTTAAAAGGAAACGTCATTGGATGATCCATATGAAATTATATGCGGCAAAAAAAAGGAAATACTTACATGTAATTGCAACTATTAATTTATTTTAATTTAATTTACAAAACGGCCCTTTTAGTTTGAAGATTTTGCAAATCGCACCCCCAAACGCCAAAACATGGGATTTGTTCACGCAACATGTCTCGCTACACGAAAGCCTCGATCACATCAATCGTACATCTTTTCGTCGTCTAACCAACGAAAAAATATTTATATGAATTGGACCGACGCGCATATAATCGGGAATATTACTCAAATAACCCACTTGGGTCGCAGCAATTTCAGTGTACACCACCGAAAAAAAAAAAAAATTTTGCGACCTTATTACGACTAATATATAACTAATATACAACTTATTACGACTAATAAACTACTCTTATTTTAGTTGTATATTAGTTATATATTAGTCGTAATAAGGTCGCAAATTTTTTTTTTTTTTTTGGTGGTGTACCCTGAAATTGCTGCGACCCAACTGGATTATTAGGGTTAAAACCCCCATATAATCGTTTATAATGTGGCCTAATTTATCTGTCATTTAGCCTTATTACATTATAATAATTGCGTGTAATAAACATTTTAATTCGGATAGGATAATATTGGGATGGCGACGTTTGCCATCAACTTGGAACGAGTGCGCGTTGTGCCCCACCTGACGACTCCCTCCTCCATCACCTTGCTTTTTCACCCCTTTATTTTCAACAATATATATATATTTATATATATATATATATAATATGGTACAATTTATATGTACATATAATTACAAAAAGTTGTACCATATTGTATATACATATGCATATGCGTGCTACAGTTTCCGTATCTTTGGATACGATATTCCACTTTGATTCCTTCAAGTTCCGGCCAGATACATTATCCACTTTACAAGTTTAAACGCACATATATGTGTACGTATATGTGTATATATATTTTCTTATTACAGTGTCCTGGTTTCAAGGAGAGGGAATAATTTGAAAAGGGGTTTCAATCAACTTGCCAAAATTAGTCTAAATGTGAGGTTTAGTTTGGCAATTTTTTCTTTATAAATTACGGGAGATTATTAGGGGTATAAATAATACAAACCTATATGGCCTACCATATAGGTTTGTATTATTTATACTCTAACACGGTTTGAATTTAAATAGGATAATATATATATATATATATATATATATTGAGTGTTGAAATTAAATTTGAAATTTGAAATGATAATTTTTTTTTAAAAAAGCGACAATATTATTATAAGAGGGGGAAAAACGACATAGCCCTTTCACAGGAAGATTGGACCTTAATTGGCCCCTTGTCGTAAGCTGGCATTCTCATCCATTTCGCTTTACCTAATCTCTTGTTGGCCGTCCACTGCATTATATCCCCGCCTGATTATTTATTATCACCAAATTATTTTAACAAATTTTTCAGATTTTTTTTTCCAATTTGTAATTTTCAATTTTAATACGTAATAGTTTAACAATCAAATCTGAACAGCCCATGAAACTAAATTCAGTTTACGTTGCATAATCATATTGGAAATGTATATTCGTTTTTTTGTTTTCACCATTATTACATGTTAAGAAATCAATTTGGATATACACAAATTAACATTCTTTCTCTAAATGTATAGTGTGTGTATATATATATATATATATTATACCAACGCATTTTGAATAATATTTATGTAAGTAAATGTTTCTGTATATACACATGTTTTATTTTGTTTTAAAAAATTGAAGACTTAAATAATCACGGTCACTTACAGGCTTCCCTTACGACCAGAGAATTTACTAAAATACCCCGTGCTATCAAGTAGTATAACACTCATACCCTTCTGATGGGCCTATTGGGCCATATAAGTTTGGGCCCACAAATAAGGCCTAATACTACCCAATCAATCAGTAGCCAGTACAGAGCAGCTTGGTCGTTTACATGTCCACATCAATGCATTATATCATCATTTTGAAATATCCAAATGAAAATACATAATTATCATAAAACAAATAGTTTTTCCTTATTGATTTTTTTCTTTTTTTTTCTCTCTCTCTCTCTAGAATCTTCAAAGTACGTCTCCCAATGAAAACGTCGCAAATAATAATTATGTTACTACATGACAAAAATCATTGACTGACTTCTGACGTTTCCACACCTTCATATCAGTTAAATTATATATTTTTTCTTGGATGTCAGAGGTTAGTAAAATCTTATCATAAACATTCACACCGATACAAAATTGAAATTAGGAAAATTTTAAAATCGGCACATCTCATCCTAGGATTTTATTCCAAATCCTTGTATAAAAATAAAATGTCCATTGCATAAGGGGTCCATCAAAATGCCCATATATATTTTTGATTCTCTCTGTCTTAATTATTTTCTGTTTATACGGAATTTTCCAATGTATAAAACCATTTTTTTCTTCATTCGGAAAATAGTTTTTTTTTTTTTGCGTTTTTATGGGTTTTTTTTTTTCGGACAGCTTTTTTTGCATGTGATACGAACAAGAATCTAAACTAAATAAATATTGTCTTAATGTGAAAATATTTTATGCCATCTCTGATTTTTTTAAAGGGGAGTGTTTTTTCCAACTCACGAGTGTGATACCTCAAAAGATTCTGCAACTGCCCCTATATTTCTGCAGAATCTCACACTGTCAACCAAATTCTTCAACTATCCCTATATTTCCGCAGAATCTCACACTGTGAACCAAATTATATATATATATATATATTCCTCTATAAGAAGAACCAGAATCAGAAGAAGGGGGAAGATGGCCTCCACGTGTCCCCCGTTTGATTTCTCGGCGAGTTATTACGGCGGCGCCGGAGAATGCGAGAGGCGGCGGAGCTTCTTCGAAGGGACGGCGGTGCTTGACCAAGGTGTCGGCTACGCCGTTATCCTCGGCTTCGGCGCTTTCTTCGCCCTCTTCACCTCTTTTCTCGTGTGTTTAATTTTTTAATCTATTTTTATTATTCAATATATATATATATATATATATATGTATGTATAAGGATCTTTATGTACATATATGTGAAATAAACAATATATAGGTTTGGTTGGAGAAGCGGTACGTGGGATCTCGACACACCTCAGAATGGTTCAACACGGCCGGGAGAAACGTTAAGACCGGTCTCATTGCAAGTGTTATAGTTTCTCAGGTGGTCGAATTAATTATATATTGTTATTTCCCTAATCATTTCATAAATGAAAGGACTGTATGTATATACATATATATACACACACATGTTGGTGTTTGATGAATTGATGTTGGATATGGGTGGTGATGGGGGCAGTGGACGTGGGCTGCAACCATACTACAAAGTTCTAACGTGGCTTGGCAGTACGGAATCAGTGGACCGTTTTGGTACGCTAGTGGAGCTTCCATTCAGGTCTTTTTTTTAATAAAACCCCAAACTATATTATATAATATATTCCGTTACAAAAACCGATTTTCATTTAATGATATTACATTGCAGGTACTCTTGTTTGGCGTGATGGCTATTGAGATCAAAAGGAAAGCTCCTCATGCTCACACCGTCTGCGAAATCGTCAAGGCTCGGTAAATATATTCAAATATAAAAACACGATTTCTATATTAAAAAAATGATAAATAAATAAAAAACCATTGGTGATATTTTTTGTTTATTGGGATATATATATATATATTTTGGTAATAATCTCAGTTGGGGAACGGCGACACACGTTGTGTTCATGGTGTTTTGTCTGGTGACGAACATCATAGTGACGGCGATGCTATTGCTCGGCGGCTCCGCCGTCGTGAATGCTCTCACCGGCGTTAATATTTTCGCCGCCAGTTTCCTCATCCCTCTCGGCGTCGTCGTCTATACTCTCGCCGGCGGTCTTAAAGCTACTTTCCTCGCCAGCTACGTTCACTCCGTCATAGGTACACACTGACATTCTGTTGCTTGGAGATCATGTAACCTATTACATAACCTATAACCTTATCTTTCATCTGTATTGCAGTTCATGTGGTTCTGGTCGTCTTTCACGACGAGCAGCCAGCTCGGCAGCCCGTCTGTTGTGTATGACCGGTTGGCCGAGATGGCTAGCCGGTCTAGGACATGTTCCGAGCCGCTGTCTCACGAGGGTCAAGCTTGTGGTCCGGTTCATGGCAACTACAAAGGCTCATATCTCACCATGTTGAGTTCCGGAGGAGCTGTCTTCGGTCTCATCAACATCGTTGGCAATTTTGGCACCGTTTTTGTTGACAACGTGAGTTGAATCTTTTTTGCTTAAATATGGAGTTTTTATATATATGTATATGTATGTATGTATGTATGTATGTATGTATGTATGTATGTATGTATGTATGTATGTATGTATGTATGTATGTATGTATGTATGTATGTATGTATGTATGTATGTATGTATGTATGTATGTATGTATGTATGTATGTATGTATGTATGTATGTATGTATGTATGTATGTATAGATGAATATGTTTTGTCTGTAGGGTTATTGGGTGAGTGCCATTGCTGCTCGGCCTTCATCGACCCACAAGGGCTATTTGCTCGGAGGACTAGTCTGGTTCGCTGTGCCTTTCTCTCTGGCCACGTCATTCGGGCTCGGAGCCATTGCCCTTGACCTACCGTTGACCACGAGTGAAGCGGATCATGGGTTGGTTCCTCCGGCCACCGCCATTGCTCTCATGGGCAAACCTGGATCTATACTTCTTCTCACTATGCTCTTCATGTAAGTTGAATGCTCATAGAAGAACACATATATACAGAAACGGAACTTGCAAGAAACTGGTTTTGTGTTTCAGCTGTTCTGAAACTGTTTCTTCTGCGATTGTCTCTTTGTTCCGCCACCATTTCTGCATTCTCTCTTACCATATCGGTCTTGAGAGAATAACCTTACTGTTTTTGTAACTTTCAGGGCTGTTACATCGGCTGGTTCTTCCGAGCTGATAGCCGTCTCTTCTCTCTGCACATACGACATCTACCGAACGTACATAAACCCGAAAGCGACAGGGAAACAAATACTCAGAGTCTCGAGAACGGTGGTTCTTGGATTCGGATGCTTCATGGGAATTCTTGCAGTGATCTTGAACAAGGTCGGAGTCTCGCTCGGGTGGATGTATCTTGCAATGGGAGTCCTCATAGGCTCCGCAGTACTTCCCATCGCCTTCATGCTCTTGTGGTCTAAAGCCAATGCCACTGGTGCCATCCTCGGGTCAATCTCGGGCTGCATCCTCGGAATCATCACTTGGTTATCCGTGGCCAAGATAGAGTATGGACGGGTCGATCTGGACACCACCGGTAGAAATGCTCCCATGTTGTCAGGAAACCTTGTGGCCATTCTTACAGGTAATGTTGAACCAGAGATGCTGCAGAAATCTATCTGGGCCAGAGATTCATTTCCTGCTTTAAGTGTTTTATGGACAAATCATTGTCACAGGTGGGTTGGTCCATGCGATTTGCAGTCATATCAGGCCACAGAACTATGACTGGGCGACGACAAGGCAGATCACAGCGGTGGAGACAGAGACAGAGACAGAGACAGGAACAGGGGAGGTGCCAGTGGAAGAGTTCAAGGAAGAGAAGCTGAGAAAAGCCAAGAAATGGATTGTGAAATGGGGTCTTGTCTTCACTGTCGCGATCCTTGTGATCTGGCCACTTCTCACCCTCCCTGCAAGTCAGTACACAGCACTACATATATATACATACATACATACATACCAAATTCATGAAGCTTTAAAGTCATGGTTTTGATGAAATGTTTAAACAAAAACGAGTTGCAGGGGTATTTAGCAGGGGATATTTCTGGTTATGGGCAATGATCGCTGTGGCATGGGGAACGATAGGGTCGGCAGTGATCATAGCTTTGCCATTGGTGGAGAGCTGGGAAACAATCAGACAAGTGTGTATTGGATTGTTCACAAACGACATGTTGATGAACAAACTCGAAGACATGAACCTTAGGCTTAAGGCACTCACACTGTCCTTACCAGAGGCTCAGAGGCTTTACCTGCTCGAGACAAGCAGGTCCAAGAAAACAGATGAACCCCAAGAACTAGCTTGAGCATAAAAACATCACAAGCTCTGTATAAATTTCATGAGATCTGTTCACTGTTCTACAACTGTTATCCATTCAAACACCCTGTTTCTGAACCTGATGGGCGTGTTTTTCTGTTACATTCTGAATCTGAAATGAGTCATTGTCTTAAAATTACTAGTCCAGACTTGATCTTGACTTCTGGTATCAATAACTCTTCTTCTACGCATGAAACACCTGTTCCTTGGGTACTTCGAGAATCAAGATCTTGAAACAAGCTGCTTGTATATACAATCCAAGAACAATAGAATCTAATCTAAAGGCTCTCCCATATGCCTATTCCATTGACTAAAATCCGCAGCCATGAGGATTCTTCATCGATCTAGGAAAAAGATCCCGGGATTCTCTTGTAGAATATCAACCAGAGATGGGCGATACACTAAGCCTTTCAGAGGTTTTGAGCATTTTCAAGTACTGGGTAGCCATCCATCCAACCACGGAGAAGTAAGCAACGAAGAAACACGCACGCTTCAAATGTACCAACAGATTGATCCGGGATGGTCTCCTGTCTGAACAAGAGCCTCGCAAGGAGAACCAAGATTTTGCATGTTGTAGGATCTGTACGAAGAAGATTGTGACAATGGAAGTTGACAGGCCAGAGACAATGCCAGCAACCACGTCGTGCCTCCAGTACTTTGGTTTATCTTCTCCCGAAAACAATGACCATAAGAATTTAGAGAATCTGGCAATCATAGGAAATTAGGAATCAGAACCAATTCTGTGAAGAACAGTGATAAGGCAAGACTCCAAAACAGAGTGGATGAGTACAGAAGCTGAAACAGTGTTCTGCAAAGGTCTTAACTACAAGATTTTCCTACACAGTGCCAGTTTGGATAACACACTAAATGATGAAATTCTAGATGACAAAAATGTGGTTAAAGAACTAAAGTCCAGTAGTAGTAAAAAAAAAAAGAAAAAGAAAAAGTATTCAGCTTGCTTAACGATAAAAAACCAAAATTACTCACAGGACAGCGTATTGTTTAACAATCTCGGGTATATCTGGAACATTGTCTACCCGGCAAGTAAAGAAACTGTCTGGATACAACTTTATCTTTGGCATGCCCAATGTGTACCAGCAATCGTAAGTCTCATTCACCTGGACAAACATCAACATTGTCCAAAACAAATCAGGAAAGCATGTTATCAGCATTCAGAAAGTGGTGCAACAGATAATTTCGAAGACCACGGGAAGAGAAGAACCTGCCTTGAAGTTATCTTTGGCCAGCCAAGCAGCACCGAAACTAGGTCTGCACTCGAGAGGAAGCGCCTCATTTGGTGCTTCTGCATACGCTAATCGTGTTTGTCCCAACAAATGATCTTTATATTCCACCTGTGAACAACCTCAAGGAAAGAATGTAGCAGTTTGATATTTCTGAAGATTATTACCTAACCACGAATAACAAAACGTATATATCAAACAAAGAAACCGAGCATGTAGACCAGACAAGCGCGTCCTGGAAGTAGCTATTCAACCAGGCAAATCATATGAAACTCGAGGATAAAGAGATTACCTTAAAGACAGAAGCCCAGTAGTAGTCATACCGACAACGGAACTTATCTCTTTCGAAAGGGTAAAACACATGCTTAGCTTTGATGTTCAACAGTCCAATGCCACACACTTTAGATGACCTAAGATCCACAGCTGAATCCAAAAAGTCGAGGAAACGGGTATGAGTTTCCAGCTAATAACTTGAATTCTCATTTTTTGTAAACAAAACCAACTGAAGCATGAACTAGATAAAGAAAATGGGTGTTTATTGAAGAGACTCCACTCCAGTAAAAACAAGTCTAAGCTCAGATCAGATTATTTCAGTGATTTCCAACCAAAGAAACAAGCATATATGTATCCATCACAGGATCATCAGAACGCACAACACTGAAGACCCATATACCCAATTATTGTAGCATTTTCGATCTATAAGCTTTATCAGATGTCGGAATTCGAAACAATCTAAAGTTCTTTGGTTCTTAAGCGTAGATTTAAGCCAACCCAGGAAGTAAAAAGCAATCAGTTTCATCAATCATTTGAAGGAGAAAACCTAATCCAATAAAAAATCTCAAGGCTTGGACTCTTTTCAGAGAGAAGAAAACCAAAACTTACAACTGGAGACTATCTTGCAGCGATAAGGGACAGTGGCTGAAGAGGGAGAAACCCATAATTCGCCGAGGAACATCAGTAAGAAACCTACGACAAAGGACAAGAAGAAAAAGCTGGCGATGGAGAAAGCTATCACAGTACAGAACCGCTGAGCTAACGGGGAGAAAAACCCCTTTTTCCTCGTCTCCTCCGTTTCCTCGGAATCCATTTTTGTCCCTCGCCGAGAAGATTTATTATCGGAATTAATCGGAAAACACCGCTCCCTCCGGGAACATTTATCACGGCGACGAGAGATTCGACGCCTGAGATCTATACGATGGATTCGTCTGATCCAAGTCGTCTTCTTTTTCCTCTCTGTTCGAATCGAATCAGATATTTTCTTTTTTTCTTTCGTTTTTCATTTTTGCTTTGACTCTCGTGTGGTTAACTTGTAAGAGAAATAAAAAAAAAACTTTTTCCCGACTGGTAACTCAAGTAACTAAGCCACATGCCACGTGTTCACTGATCATCATCCGTGTAAAAGTTTGCATTTTTTTTACACAGGCAATATATAATCGTACAATTCACTGTATGACAACGTTTTCGGCATTAAGAATCCAATCCTCATGTCAGTTCGTACAATCTGGTTACAAGAATTTTCTTATTAACCCTAGTTTCCGTTGCGACATTTCTTCACTTCTGCCAGATCTTCAGTAACAAAGACCGGCTGATTTAGTAGATTCCCTCACACTGACATCGTAAACATCCTTCATTCCCTCCCCGGCACCACATTGTCTCTCCGGAACTTGGACGGCGGCTGCTTTCTCTCTCTCGGCCACTGCTTTGAGGCGGTAACGTTCTGCTCTTGACCCGATGACCTGTCCCAGGATGGAAGCTCCGATGGTCAGAGCCATGGCAGTCTTGGGCATCAATACGGACTTCCTAAGCATTGCGATGAACGGCACGGCTGCATGGATGGCCACGAACCATGACACTGAGAACTTCTCTGTGTGTTCTTTCCATGCACCCAGAGGCACGTTTGCAGCCATGCCCATGAGAGCAATGGCTAGCATTTTCGCAGGTAAAGGCTGAGGGCGTAAGTTCTTCACCAAGGCCGTCTTTGACAGGGCGGCCCTTGCGGCAACTATAGGAGCCGGGCATCTCAGCTTCATTCCAGGCGGTGGCCGCAGAGCTGTTGCCACAAGTGGGAGGACACCACTGACGGCTCTGAAAGACTTGGCGATTGGACAGTTCCCGGTTTTCAACCATTCATTTCCGAGAGCCTCGTGTTCTGATGAATCTCCTGCCTACAAGACAAACAGGAAAAATCGTAAAAAGCCCTTTAACCAAGAAAATGGCTCAAATGAAATGTTGGGAGAATAATATCTACATGGGTCACCTGAGAAGAAGGTTCTTGTGTGTTGGAAGGTTTAGATTTCTTCTGTTGCTTCTTCCATTTATCCGAGAAGGGACCAAAGCTGAAAGGCCCTCCTGGACCAAATGCTGAGAGGCTTATCGTGGCGACATTTCCGGCTAAAGGATTGAATTGTGGGGCAAGAACAGGAACAATCTCTCGATCCTGATCATCATCATCATCAAAACTTGACCTTCCAGACAAGGGCACAATCCCATCCTTCCCGTGGAAGACTTTAAACACCATATCGAAACTAGGACCATCCTCAAAAATTGGACCTCTAGCTCCTGGCACCTGGGAACCGAGTCAACCAAAACCGACAATACATTACTAGTGACTGGAAGCACATAATTTAAGGAGAAAAAACGTGCCTGGGGTGATGAATTTTACCGGAATGGGAAGACTCATGGGAGAGAATGAAAAGTTGGTAGGCTTGTCTATGTTCCTCAAGAAAGGACATCTCTGGATCTCCTTCTCATAAAAGGGGCATTCAGATGCTTCTTGATCCATTCCTTTGAGGAAGGAGTACAACTCTTGTCTTTCACCTCAGAAAAAAACTAACAGCCTGAGATAAAATAATGCAAAAGACAGTCAACAGCTACTCACAGGAAAGAGCGTTATCAAGATAGAAAACTGAAAAATGTATAGCAGGCATATACAAGAATTATTCATTGTACTACAATTTATAATTCAACAGAACAGCCCAGAAGAGTAAAGTAACATGCTTTCCTCAAATTTTCCACGAAAGATGACTAAAACACAATCACGTACACGATTAGTTTGCAGAAAACACAATCGAGAACCATTCAATCCCACATTAAGAAGCCAACATACATTCAACATTGAGGAGAATCAGTAACATAAAAAAAAAAAGACACCAAATTTGGGAACTTTAGCAAATCAGAGGAGCGCATATCTCCAAGTAAACCCTAGAAAAAACCAAGCAACCAGATCACACGACTCCGAAATCGTATTTAGGATCCGCAGGCTTCCCGTAAACGTAGAAATCTCACGATGTTGTCGAAAAAACAGAATCCCATCGCGAAACAGGAAATCAGTACCGCACAACCTAAAAAATCGATCGGGGATCGAGATACGGAGCCTGTCCTTCGAATCCATGCCAAAGAAGACATACCCAGAATACAAGCAGACGCAAATCGAGAAGGGAGAGGGCCCGTTTGGCAGGCGAGAAAGTGCACCTGAGAATTTCCTCGCCCGTTTTGCCGGAAAATCCAAAGAGCAGGTAGCTTTGTCAGGACGTGTGGTGGCCACAGATCGATCAAAAGAGGAGAAAACAAAAAACGTGTGGCGGCTTCTGCTTTAATAAGGCATCACCGGCTAAGCAGGTTAATATACCTGTTATCACCGGTTTATAATTAATTGGGTTGACTTATGAGACCAATCCTGACCGTTGGATTAGATGGTATGCGTGCGTTTGGTGGGGAGATCCACTCTAACCGTTCGATCTTCCGTAGTTTAGATCCAACGGTGAGAATTCATTGAAAGTTAGCGTTTGGTGGGGTTAATTATAATTTATAACGGTCGTTGCAAATAACTGATGAATGTTTATCATTACTTATTATATGTATTGATGGTTGTCGGTTTCTTGCAATATTTAAAATGGAAACTCAACAAAGATTAGATAAATCGCACGAGCAAATCTTATTTCCATATAATCGGACAATATCTTGATGAATATTTATCATTACTTATTATATGTATATTTATATTTTGTAGATATTAATCGCAAGTGCAGGTACAAGGTAGCTGGAACTGGGGAGGGCATACCAAGACGCAACCTTTCTTGTCACACCATTTTTCTAGTTCGATCATTTGCCGACGAATGATAGATGCTTCTTCCGTCAATGCCCTCGCCTCCACCGTTGGAACAGTTGAAGGTATCGTCACTGTAAATATATATATATATTTTTAATCTCAAATGGTCATAAATTATAAAGTAATACGATTTCATTCGACTATATTTACATAATTATATATCATTTATATATTAGTCTTTTTTTTTATCATTTATCATATTATTTTATATAATGGATAAATAGGTTGAGATGTAAAAACGATAAACGGAAAAGATATATTTACTTACGACAAGTGAAGACCAAGAGAGCAAAGAAAACCATCTTGATCTTGATTGAGAGTTTCTCCATTGAAATTTTGTTACAAGACAAGCCAAATAATGTTTTTTTTTTGTATGATTGGATATAAAATTTCGTACATTCCGGGTCTCTTTTTATAGTGTAGAAATGTTGTAATTTTTGGTAACAAATATTCCATATGCATAAATTTATTATTCCACAAAAAAAGGAGGCAAATTAAGATTTTTTTAGTTTCGGTGGACAAGATAATTTGGTAAAAATTCTATTAAATTAGAAAATATTTTCCTCAATGAATATGGTATTTATGTCAATCGGATATAGTTCCCTTTTCATCAGATTTGGTGGTATATCTATAGGTTAAAATTGTAAACTACGACTAATCATATCTTGATTTTCATTTTTTCTCTAGATAAAATAGAGGTGGATATTTTAATTTAGTACAAAAATAGAATTAAAACGAATTGAATAAAATATAAATCTAAAAAAATAATATTTAAATAAAAATTTTATATTGATATACTGATTAGAATTCAAAATTGAATTGAAAACCAACCAATATAAAATACTGAATAAATATACTATTTATAAAAAAAATCCATTAACATAGGTTAATAACCATCTTTTGCTAGTGCAAAACTATATGTATATATATATATATTATAATTCCATATCAAAACTATATGTAAATAAATTGATATTTTAATATAAAATTTAAACATTAAAACGTTATTTAAGTATATAAAAGAAGTTATGCATAGCAAATAAAAAAATAAATTAAGTATTATTTAAAAAAATATAAATAAAAATTTAAAAAATATGAAATTAAAAAAAACACATGTGGCAGTGGCTACAAACAAGTCTTGAAAATTCCTGACTCATTAAACGAGTTGCTAACAAATTAGTTCATGAGTTGAGTTTATTTTGACATTCATAATTATCATATTATTTTTAAATTAGATAAATAGATTGATAATATATGTAAAAAGAATAGACGAAGGAGATACGAACTTACTACAAGTGAAAACAAAGAGAGTAAAGAAAATAATCTTTGTTGAGAGTTTCTCCATTCTTATTGGAAGGTTTTGTTACAAAGACAGGACAAAGAGAATAAGATTTTAAAATTGCACGTAAAATCTTATATCTTTAGATTTCTTTTTATAATGTAAAAATGTTGTAATTTTTTGGTTAAATAAAAGTTCCACTTAAATCAATAAATTCTTCCAAAAATAAAAAGATAAAACTATATATATATATATATATATATAATTTTGGTGGACTTTTACGAAAATTTGCAAAATTTCTAATAAATTAGAAAAAAAATTCTCCATAATGGGTGTGGTATTCATGTCACGCCGATGGAGTTTTATTAGATTGATTAGTATATTATGGGGTTAAAATTGTAAACTATAATTAATCATATCTTGATTTCTATTTTTTTTGTCAAGATAAATTCGAGGTGGATATTTTAGTTTGGATATAGAAAAAAAGAATTTAAACGATTTGAATAAAATATAATTCTTAATGTGAGGCAATAATTTGAAATTATAGGAAGACTTTTTTTAATAATGTGAATGTGATTGGTCCATCATCACCATTCCCGTGTGTTGCTCCTTTTATTATTTGTATTTCTAGATTTTTTTTTATCAATGTCTCACCTCCCCGTTATTAAAATTTTAGTAATCTAAGGAAAAAAAATATACATTTATAGTGAAAAAATATCTATATAGATCGAATAATTTTCAAAACCTTATAATATACAATTGGCGAATTAAATTGTGGACAATCATAAATCCCAACTCATCGGCCCAACCAAAATTTTCTACGGCCCAACAAATATATCTTTAAACTTTTATGAATATTCATTAAATATAATTCGAAATTCAACAAATATTAGATAAATTGCACGAGCAAAACTTATTTCCACATAATCGGACAATATCTTAATGAATCTTTGTCATTACTTATTACATATATATATATATATATATATTAGTTATTAAGGACAAGCGCAGGTACAAGGTAATTGGAACTGTGGAGGGCATACCATACCAAGACGCAGCCTTTCTCCTCGCACCAATTTCTTGATTTTCATTTTTTTTTCTCCTAAGAAAATAGAGGAGGATATTTTAGTTTGAATATAAAAGAAAAAGATCTAAAATGAATTGAATAACATATAAATCTAAAAAAATAATTTTTTAAATAAAAATTAAATGCTGATGAACTGATTAGAATCCAAAATTGAATTGAAAACCAGCCGATATTAAAAAAAAAAACTGAACAAGTATAGTATTTATTATCAAATAAAATATGAAAGATACGAGAGCAAAGAAATCAAATATTGTGGATGCAATCTTTATACAATATAAACAAAAGATACCCACTAAAATATCCATTAACATAGGTTAATAACCATCTTTTCCTAGTTCAAAACTATATATTATAATTCCATATCATTTTTTTTTTGTAGTAGAAGAAACACTCTTTTTCAGTGAAAATTCGTCAAGATTCCTAATTCAATTTGAGATCGAAACTCAACAAATATGAGATAAATTGCAGATCTTATTTCCACTTAACGCATTACATTAACTGATGAACATTTATTTCATAGATTTTTATTTAGTTTTTTGGAGGGCATTGGCAACCACAAGGTGGGGTGAAAGTTCCGACGGGAGGGCATGACCAGAAGCAGCCTTTCTTCTCGCACCAGTTGTCGTCGTCGTCTTGGGGCACTGCTGACGCTTTTTCCGACAATGCTCTCGCCTCCACCGTTGGAATAGTCGTAGATACCATCACTACAATATTATTATCTCGAACGGTCACATAATATAATGTCATACTAACTATATTATATAATTCCATATCATTTTTAGATTAGGTTTTTTATAGAATAAAATAAAAAAACCTGACTCAACTCGTCTAAAAACGAGTTGAACCCATCTTGATATTTATATTCATCATATTATTTATTAATTAGATAAATAGGTTGATAATATATATAAAAAGGGATAGATGAAAGAGACATAGACTTACTACAAGTGAAAACCAAGAGAGTAAAGAAAATAATCTTGGTCGACAGTTTCTCCATTCTTACAGACAAAGAGAATAAGATTTTTAAGATTGAACGTCTGACATCTTTAGATTCCTTTTTATAATATAAAATTTGTAATTTTCGGTAAAAAAAAGTATATTCCATATAAATCAATATGCCACCCAAACAAAGGATATATATATATATATATTATTTTGGTGGACTGTTTTACGAAATTTTGCAAAATTTCTTCTAAATTAGAAAATAATTTTCTCCATAATGGATAAGGTACTTATGTCGTGCGGATATAGTTCCTTTTTCATTAGGTTGATTAGTATATCTATGGGGTTAAAATTGTAAACTATGACTAATCATATCTTGATTTCCATTTTTTTCTGAATATATCTATATATATCGTTTTAAGAGAGCCCAATATATTATATCCAAAACAAAAAACAAAAATCGCTTTCTGTATATTCAAACTAAAATATCACCTATGGAAAAAATAAATGGAAATCAATATATGATTGGATTAGTCATAGTTTTCAATTTGAGCCCGATATTATAATATAATATTTGTAGATGTGTTCAGATTTTACATGGGATCTTATCTATTCAGTCTACTGAAAAAAAAAAACTATATCCCCGTTACCATATCCATCAATTAAGGATATGATTAATTTCTAATTCAATATAAATTTTTGCAGAATTTCGTAAAACGGTCCACCAAACAACATAAAAATCTGAGATTACTTTTTTTTTTCTTTTGGAAATCAAATGATTTAATTATGTGGAAGATTTCTTTTTTTTTTTTTATAACCAGGATGGTTCCTCGAACCTTCGTTCCGACTACATCCACCCTAGGTTAAGGACCAACCTTTGTATATGGGCCATTTTAGTCCAGAAATTACGTCCCTCCCCACCAGTGGAATCGAACACATAATCTTGAGGATGACTTTGTCACCTCTCAACCACTGGACCACCAACTGTTGGGTACATGGAAGATTTCTTACCAAAACAAAAACATTTCTACGCTATAAAAAGAAATCTCAAAGGTATGAGTTTTCACATCCAATCTTAAAACGTCATCTTTTGATCTGTCTTGTCTTAATTTGTAACAAAACTTTCCATGAGAATGGAGAAACTATCAACCAAGATTGTTTTCTTTGCCCTCTTGGCTCTGGCTTGCCGTAAGTTTATTATATCCTCTTCCTCTGTTTTTATTTATTTGATTTTTTAATTATTATTACAAAGAATTCCATAAAGTTTATATGTTTTTTAAGGGTAAAATCCATAAAAAAAATAATTAATCTGTAAACTTTTTATTTGATAAATATACATATAAAAGAAAGTGATATCTGTGCATGCAAGCGGTTCAAAAACATGACATGTTGTCAACGTATGAACCCATACCAATGATATATATTCCATAACCATTTGAAATCGTATTTATGATATGATTTGTAACCATTTGATGTGATGTAGTGATGGCATCCTCGAGCATCCCAATGGCGGAGGGGAGACCATTGGAGGAAGAGGCATCAATCCGCCATCGAATGTTGCGAGAGAAAAACTGGTGCGAGAAGAAAGGATGCCTGTGGGCATGCCCTATCGGCGCCACCTTCCCTCTGCCTTGCACCTGCTATTGTAGTTGAAATCATTACCACAAATAATAAGTTAATGTAACGTCTTCCCATATCACGTGGTAAAACAATATTTTGCACCCGTCTACTTAAATTTGTTAAATTCATATCTCATATATATATATATATATATTCGTAAAAAACCCATAACTATAAATTGCTGAAATTAGTATAAGACGACGAATAAAAAACTCAAGAGTTGACGTAGATGATTCAATATATTCGTCCCAAATGGTGAACCGATTCATTTTTCTCCAATATTCTCTCCTCCACCGTTTGAATACTTGATGATGCCATCACTATATAAATATACACCAAATCATCCGACTATATTATATATATATAAAAAAGAGATTCGTCCCAAAGTTCGAACCCTCCCATGAGAATGAAATAATTATTGAGGCGAGATTAGTCTAATTGTGTAAGGTTTTAAAGATATCGATTCATATTTGAACATCATTTAAAACGTCCGGTGACTAAAAATCGAAAAAAAAAAAGAACACCATAACTAGAAAGTATTTTGGGCTCTTTACATATATTTGAGCCTACAAGTGTTGGCATTTATGATCGTATGGTCCACGATTTAACTCGACAATTATATAGTCCAAGGTTTTGAAAAAAAGAGTATTCGAATTATCATTCGATCTATTTACACATTTTTTTTCCATATAAATGTATGTTTTTTCTTAAAATACTTGTGTAGTAAGGGCGAATGTGAAATTTATAGAGAGGCTTCTTTAATATTTGTAGACGGTCCACCAAAACAAACCAACTTTCTTCTATATCAAAAAAAAAAAAAAATCCATTCTGTATATTCAAACTAAAATATCACATATGAAAAAAAAATGGAAATCAAGATATGATTGGATTAGTCATAGTTTACCATTTGAACCCGTTATATAAAGATATTATAACATAATATTTTGTAGATATGTTTAAGATTTTACAGAGGATCTTATCTATTCAATCTACTGAAAAAGAAACTATTTTCCCGTTACCATATCCATCAATTAAGGATAAAATTATTTTCTAATTCAATGGAAATTTTTACAAAATTTCGTAAAACGGTCCAACCAAAACAACTAAAAAAATCTGATATTACCTTTTTTTTTTGGTCAGAATCAAATGATTTAATTATGTGGAAGATTTCTTACCAAAAATAACAACATTTCTACGCTATAAAAGAAATCCCAAAGCTACGAAATTTTCACATCCAATCTTAAAAACGCCATCTTTTGATCTGTCTTTGTAAGAAAACTTTGCGTGAGAAAATGGAGAAACTATCAATGAAGATTGTTTTCTTTGCCCTCTTGGCTCTCGCTTGCCGTAAGTTCACGTCTTCTTTTTGAAAATGTTTTCAACCATCGTTACAAAAAATCTATAAAATGACACGTAATATTATATGATACGGTCGTATGATCTGTAACCGTGTATCTTGTGTGTGTATTTATGTACGTAGTGATGGCGTCGCCGAGTATTCGAGCGGTGGAGGGGAGAGTGTTGGAGGAAGAGGCATCGGCTGCCCATAGAATGCTGCGGGAGAAGAACTGGTGCGAGCAGAAAGGGTGCTTCTGGTCGTGCCCTGTCGGCATCACCTTCCCTCTCCCTTGCAGCTGCTGGTGCAAATGAAACAATATATATACACTTATATAAAAGAAATTAACAGCTCCTATCATGTGGAAATAAAATAAGCTTCGCACCGGTCTATTATATGCCTCAAGTTTGTTAAATTCCCATCTCATATATATATATATATAAATATCGAAAAAAGATAAATCAAAAGAAAAATATCGGAACTTATCAATTAAGAAAACTTGAATTTTGTTCTTGACAAATAAAACCCCACCTTAATCTTAATAAAAAAAAATAAGAAAAACAAAAAACATGGTTACTTAGTATAGTTTAATGCAATATTATAATAGGCACAATATTAATGCGTCATGTCATTATTTGGGTTAAAAATGATATCGGTTATAACGTACATTGGGTCCTCTTAAAAGACATATATTGGGAATTTTATTGGGCCTATAGGTTTTGGGATTTACGATCGTATGGTCCACGATTTAACTCGCCAATTATATAGTCCAAGGTTTTTGGAAAAAAAAAATATATTCGAATTATCATTCGATCTATTTACTATATAAATGTAACCTTTTCCTTAACGATTGCTAAATTTAAATAATGGGGAGGTGAGGTGATATAAATCTAGAAATACAAAAATGATAAAAGACCTAACGACACATGGGAAGGTGGTGGACCAATCACCTTGTCCAGTCCACATGGGGGAAGGTCATGTTCCACTTTTATCATTAAAAAGTCTTCTTAATGTCACATTCTTTCCTTACATTGGCCCTTTATTACACAAGTTTTTTATTTCTTAATTATTAAAAATTTATATTTCAAAACATTGATATTTTCTAACTATTACCCCTAACAGCCAAAACTAGACAAAAAAAAAAATATTTCATATATAAAAATTATATTGCAATAAACCAACCGTTAATGACTTACAAAACACCGCAAAGGTCAAATGTTAAAAACTTGGACAATATATATATATATATATATATATATATAATTATTTTCATCTACTAATTAGTTAAATAATAAGGAATAAATAAAAAATATAGTCTAGTTTGAAACAAGAGAATTTATACCATCAAAACGCACAGTCAACAATTAATTAATGAGGGACAAACCACCGACTAGACTTCATCCTCATAGCTAATATTTAATTCCCAGTCAAATAAAATACTTTTGGTTTAGAGGCCGACATTTAGTTTTTTGTCTAATTATATTTATATTTCAACTTTAAAAATTAATATATATCTATTCTTTTTTATATTAAATCGTTTTATATTACTTTAATCTAATTTTAAAAACTTTTGATTATTTTCTTTAATTCTTATTCGATTATTTTGTATAGATTTTTTGTACAATGCGTTTTGCGATATATAATTTCATAAAAACTAGTATTTTTGCATAACTCATATTTATTATATATTTTAAAAAAAATTAGAATATTTTATGAGTAAAGAATTAAATGTCCGAGGTACATAGTTGACTAAAATATATCGACAAATATTACATTTCAATAATGTAAACTTGGTTACAGCTTATGACTTTTACTTGCAAAATCTATTGAAAATTTACATTTAAGATTACATTACAAGAAAGGCAGGACAAATAAATCAGACATGGATTTTGACTCAAATAGTCTTGAAATATACTACAACTAAATACAATTATTAAGAAAATATTACAATCAAATATTTTGGTCATACGGTATATTGTAATAAATTTGATCCTAGGTATTTTTAAATAATCGTAGAATAATTACTCTACGAGGAAAAATCGATCACCTTATATTTGAAATTCGAGCAGATATTTTAGATTTATTTATTTTAGCATTTATATATTTTAGAAAAGACAATATATGTATGCCTATTTAATTAGCATCTAAAATTTCCTTTAAACTCAAAATTATTTTTTTTTTATCAAACACATTTATTTCAATAGATATTTTAGGTCTTGTTTATATTCTAAATATTTTATATTCGATTAAATTATTTTTTAAAAAATAAATAGAATTAATTATGCAAATGAATTCGATCAAAGATTCAGAGAGTTTTGATTAGTTTATTTTTATAAATAAATCATATTTAGTACAAAAGCGAAGGTTTGAAAGTTTGAAGGGCAAACGCATGATTGCAATTGGTCGCAAGGAGCGAGTAACGATTGGCGTGTCGGTGATGGATCCACGTTTAGATTCTCTTCGTATACTTTTAACGCGTTTAAATTAAATATTTTAAATTTTAAATCCTAATAATAAACTCCCCAAAATAATGAATTAATATTTTACACATAACATTGGAATTGAGTTTGATCTTGGGTCCATTCTACACATGTATTTAATACAAAGCTTATAGTTTTCTTGCACGAAATTAAAATTTAGTTCAGAAAATAATCGAATAATGTATTTGAAATTAATATTTTTTTTGGATAACTCCGGTTGTAACAATAATATATATTTTTTTATAATTAGGAAATTTACTACAGTTCGCTCCATATAATTCTCTAGATCCGAAATCAGTTTTTACTTATACAATTAATTACGTCTCTATTCCTCTCTAGTGAAATCGAACATTAATAAATAAATAAAATATTACAAATGGGATAATAATATTATTTTTGGTGTAAACAATCACACAAATATCACACCAATAAATAAAATCGCCATTGGACTCTTGTGGACACCTTCACATATTTTTCCAACTAAAAAAAAAGTGTGGAAAAATGGAGACCGGAAAATAAATTATATATATATATATATAATTTTTTTTAAAATCCACCTATTTTTCCCCTTTTTTTTACCCATTTGCATAACAAGTTTGTCAAGTTATATATGCGAGCCTTTGCGTCCTCAAATCTGTGCCCATTTTGACTTCCGCTTCAACGATAGAGAGAGAGAGAGAGGAGCTTCCGTTCGCGGGCAAATTCCTTTGGGAGGCAATTTCGAATCGGAAACGATTTCCAATCCGGAGAAAGAGAAAGCTATACGAAGATCCTTGGGGGTAATTTGTGTTTCTCTCATGTGGTGATTTACGTATCGATCGTATTTTGAGTGTTTAGAGATCTATTCGGCTTTGTTTTTCAAGTAGCAGATCTGGGTTCGTCTAATTTCTCTTCACGTTTTCTTCCTGTTCGCTGATTTCAGAGTATCTATGTTTTCGTTTTTTTTTGTTTCGTCTACCATTATCCTCTTTCCCCATTTTCGATTGGTCGTACGGAACGATCTTTGAGATGTATGATCGAAAATCTGTTCGTTCTTCTGCGTCCTTACGATTTGCTCTTTCAACAATGAAGATACAAGGTTATATTTATTGCCTGTCGGATTTCCAGTGTATGCGTCTATAAGCCGCAGCTCTGGGTTTGCGTTTTTCTACATGTAATTTAAATCTGATGCTAAAATTCGGACTTTGGATTCGAATTTTTCTTTCTCAGGCAAAGTTTACAGGTAGAGAGATTCATCTTGTGGCCGATAATTATATCATTTGTTTTCTTCTGGTTTTCCGTTACTTTTATGTTTTGTCAAAAAGTCTACAGAAAATTGCTGATTTTCATGATGGAAGGGAACAAAGATTTATGATTGAGGACTTTACGTCTCTGCCAAGAAATGATTAGTGCTAATGCGAACGCCTTCTCTCTCTCTCTCTCTCTCTGTTACTCTTTTTTTTCTTTTGCACTTTAAAGTGTTGGCATTTGTGCAGTTTCTATTTCTTCCTTTCGACACGAACAACTGTAATTCACTATTCTAATAGAAAAATCACCCATTTGTGCATTTAGTTATTACTCGCTAGATCCAATGACGTTTTTCTACTTGGTTGAGAGAGAAGAGAGAGAGAGAGAGAGAGAGAGAGAGAGAGAGAGAGAGAGAGAGAGAGAGGCATGTTAGAGTAGCATGGGCTGTTCGAGTTTGGGTCCCAAAAAGCCATGTGAGAAACATTAAAGCACGAGTCTTTGGATGTCGGCAATACTCTTTGGATCTCATTTCCTGTTCCTCATCTTTTGTTGTCTTTTTGGTTTCAGTTCGCCTTAGTGGTCCCATACTCGTTGGCCCATCAATCTTGGAAAATCGCATATCTCTCCTCATCAACATCATATTCCTTTGTTCCTATTTTCCGTTTTAGTGCAAGTTTTTTTTTTTAAATAATTTTTCTCCCTTATAAATGATATGGCAGAACTCGATTTCAAATGATATTGTCTGCTTGTGTAGGTAACGGTCATGCCTAGCGATTATGGGCTTCTGTTTTAAGGAGCCTGTTCGCGTTGTTGTCCTGATTGTAAGAATTGTATCTTCCTTATCTAGATCGAGTTTCTTGATTTAAATCTGATGGTAAAGAAAATGTTGGTTGATCTTTAGGATTGTGAACTGATAGAGCAGGACTTGGGTTTTGGTTTATAGGTTCTGGACGTTGTTACGAACTCAAACTGGCTCGGTCTTTGAGCTCCGTCTTACCCTGTTTCTTTGGTTTAATGTAAACTGTTTCTTTTGCGTTTCCTGGTGTCATTCTTTGTATTCTCAACTTGTGTCATAGTTTCGATCATCTGCCACTTATCGTTTATATGTTGCAAATTATGCAGGTACTTGCCTTCTAATAGATCTATATATAGATCAGTTACTTGACCCAAAATGAAGTACAAAGACGAGAAGTACGAGAAGCTTGAGAAAGGTTCGAGGATCCTACCCAAGACAATACTGCTGATTTTGCTGTGTGGGTTTTCTTTTTATCTTGGTGGGATATATTGCGGGAAGAGCAAAATCGAGACCAAAGATGTTGCAAAAGCGGGATCTTCCGCCGGGGAGACTAATGCTGGCTCTCTCCAAGTCAAAGCTGTTTCTTTCTCGGAATGTAGCTCTGATTATCAAGATTACACCCCGTGCACGGATCCAAGGGTATTCTAAGTTTTGGCCTTTCACGGTTCTCTTCTCATAAGGACTGAATCTGATAAAGGTTTTGCTAACGATTGGAATTCTTCTTGTTTGCCCATGCTTGTTCAGAAATGGAAGAAATATGGTACTCATCGGCTCACTTTCATGGAACGCCATTGTCCTCCTGTGTTTGAGAGAAAGGAGTGTCTTGTTCCTCCTCCTGATGGATATAAGCCACCTATAAGATGGCCAAAGAGCAAAGGCGAATGTTGGTACAGGTAATGTCATCCATCTTCTATCTGGAAATTCCACCCCTTACTAGTTTAGATCTCTCTTGCTCAAACATCAACTTATTTATCAAACCCATTACTGATTTGTTAATTTGATATTGTTTCAGGAATGTGCCCTATGATTGGATCAACACGCAGAAGTCTAACCAAAACTGGCTAAGGAAAGAGGGGGAAAAGTTCATCTTCCCAGGTGGAGGAACAATGTTTCCCCATGGAGTTAGCGCCTATGTCGATTTGATGCAAGATTTAATCCCTGAAATGAAAGATGGGACTATCCGAACTGCCATAGATACTGGATGTGGGGTGAGTCCATTTTTTCTTGACTGGTTTTGTTTCTGTCTGTATCGTTAATACTTATCGTGATAATGCCCGAGAAATCATTTTGGAAAAATTGACTGGCCATTTATGTCAGAGGCGTGTTCTAATTCAACCTTTGTTTCAGGTTGCCAGTTGGGGAGGCGATCTGTTGGATCGAGGGATTCTCACAGTGTCTCTTGCCCCGAGAGACAATCATGAAGCTCAAGTCCAGTTTGCACTAGAACGTGGAATCCCTGCAATCCTCGGCATTATTTCGACCCAGAGGCTCCCTTTCCCCTCCAATTCATTTGACATGGCTCATTGCTCTAGATGCCTTATACCATGGACAGAATTCGGTAATTCAACATCTTTAGCTTGGCCGGTTAAGGATCAACGTTGGCACAAATAGATTTATTTATACGTTTCAGATAGCTATCTGGATCAATTAAAATAACTGGCTTGATGTTGCGAAAGTTGAATCTTGCAGTGCTTTCTTTATGCGTTTTTTGAAACAATTCTCGCCTTTCTTGATCTCAGGTGGAGTCTATCTTCTTGAGGTTCACCGTATTCTGAGACCTGGTGGCTTCTGGGTCTTATCTGGTCCACCAGTCAATTACGAGAACCGTTGGAGAGGCTGGAATACAACCATTGAAGAGCAGAGATCAGATTATGAGAAGCTGCAAGATCTTCTGTCTTCAATGTGCTTCAAAATGTATGCCAGGAAAGACGACATAGCCGTGTGGCAAAAATCTTCAGACAACTTATGCTACAGCAAGCTGGCTAACGACCCAGATGCATACCCACCCAAATGTGATGATAGCCTTGAACCGGATTCTGCCTGGTACACCCCTCTCCGCCCTTGTGTCGTGGTTCCAAACCCTAAGCACAAAAGGTCGGACTTGGAATCTGTTCCTAAATGGCCTGCGAGATTGCAAACTACACCTGAAAGAATCTCTGATGTTCACGGTGCAAATGCCGGTGTATTTAAGCAAGACACTAGCAAATGGAAGTTGCGAGTCAAACTCTACAAGAAATTGCTTCCAGCCATTGGTACTGATAAGATCCGTAATGTGATGGATATGAATACGGTTTATGGAGGCTTTGCTGCAGCTGTGGCAGAAGATCCTTTATGGGTCATGAATGTTGTCTCTTCTTATGCTGCAAACACGCTTCCAGTGGTTTATGATCGCGGGCTAATTGGCACATATCATGACTGGTAAACCCCCAACCCGGTTTTCTACTCGAAAACTCTGATTCATCGTATGTTATATAACCCGATAACGTCTTTCTCGATGGCAGGTGTGAGGCTTTCTCAACGTATCCTAGGACTTACGACCTTCTTCACCTCGCTGGGCTGTTCACCGCTGAAAGCCACAGGTAACAAACGTTTCCCACCCTAATAAAAGCTTCAAATCTTTTGAATCTGAATGTTCATTGAAACTCATTCTCTCGTTCTTTTGCAGGTGCGAGATGAAATACGTAATGCTGGAGATGGACAGGATCTTGCGCCCCAACGGGTACGCAATAATACGCGAATCGAGTTACTTTGTTGACGCCATCGCAAACGTGGCTAAAGGAATGAGATGGAGTTGCCGTAAAGAAGAAACAGAGTCCAAGTCCGAGGATGAAAAGCTCTTGATTTGTCAGAAAAAGCTCTGGTACTCTTCTAACTCGAGTTCTTGAAAGGGCACGTACACATTTATTAGCAGACAGAACACAAAAGAAGAAGAAAGAGGACAAGCAAAGCAAAGATATGTCCGAGCGGTTCTTGAGGAGCCGAGTAAGGTATCGAATATGGTTTTTGTTTTTTTTTTTTCTTTCCTTCGACGCATCTCTCTGTCTCTGTCCCGCGCAAGGCAGAAAGACGAATAGGTTCTTGTTCCTTGGAAGCCAAGAAAGCTACAGGATTCCCATTCATTTATCCATTTCTCTACTTCAAAAACCTCAAATTTTAGAGTATAGTTTTGGTCAGAATATATAATCTTTTTGGAAATGTAATTTTTTGTTGTTGTTGTTGTATTGAACGCTTTGGGGGTTGCAGATTATTCTGTTCTAAGATACACTTGAATGATACAATCTCTTTCTCATGGTTATCTGGATAACTCATCATCATCATCATCATCATCATCATTTAATGACTTAAATAATAAATTACAAATATAGGCAAACAAGACTTAAAAAACCCACCGAGGCAATCTAATTTTAAATTTCGTATACCAAGGAAATTACTAAATTCAGTTATGTATCTTTTTTGGTAGTGCTTAGTTATAGAAATGTCATTAATTCTGTAATAATTAAGTTCTTATCTTAAATATTAAGTATTTTATATTCAAAGAACCGGAAAAAACAATTAATATTATTAATTATTAATATTACAGGAAAAAGACAGAAATGTATAGGTTGTTAGTTAGAACGTGGAAGTAGAGAACAAGGAAAGGCAAGAGAGGCGGCCACGTAAAGAAGCGGTAATTTTCACGATTCCGAAGCCGATGACGTGTCAGGACAAAATCCAACGGTTAAAAATAAACTATTACCGTATACCGAGGAGCAGAAGATCATAATTCCGTCCAAACAGTCACGACCACAATTTATTTTATTAATGACGGACCAAAAGAAAATATTCTGTTTCGAGATGGGAATATATATAATGCCGCAGGGTATTTTTCTACATATGTATATTCACCGCAAACAAAAAAGGCAAGGGAGAGAGATTCGGTGGAGAAATTGTATTTGGGCCCGATTCGAAGATTCGAGGAAGGAGGGGAGCTCTGGATTCAATATCTTCCCGTCGTTGGCGACGGAGATTATGCCCTTTGGCTCTGAGGTACCGGAGATCTCTCTCTCTCTCTCTCGGTGTATGAACGAGATTCTCAGCGGTTTTCGCATGTTTGGGTATCAATCTGATTGGATCTGGATTTTTGGGTTGTTGAGAGTCTCGGAATTGGGATCTTTTGTGGGTCGATAACGGGATCTGATTACCTATCCTTTTTTTCCCGGGTTATAAGGGTTATGCGAATTCGATTCGTTGCTATTTTATTTTTTGTCGTATTGGATAATGATCTGCCCCGTCCTCTTACAGATCTCCGATAATAGGGGCCAACGGTAGGGGATTTTATGGTGATCTAGGGTTTTGACATCGGAATGTTTCTGGAATACTGTGAATTGCATTCTGATTCGTGCTTTGTTAATTGCTGTTAGGTTTATTGGGTATAATGAAATTTGAGTATTTTGCGGGTGCTTGTTGGAGTCTATTGGAATTATTTTCCGTTGTTTACCTTTTTTTTGCGTATTTTATGTGTTAAGCGAAGAAGTCTTTTTAATAATTATTATCTTGAATGAATTGGCACGATGCCCATGGTTTTATACCTTGATATTGTTGGTAACAATTTCTAGAGTTTTTTCAATGTTTTCAGGTTACATCAGACTTTACTTTAGGTGGAAATTTAGCTTCTACGATATGGAGCAAGTTTGCTTCTGGTCAAGCTGCTACCTGTTTCGGGTTTTCTTGTTCCAAGAAGTGCTCGACTGGCGGTTTCTTGTCCGTGCAGATTTCCTTACGGCTTCTTTTGTCAACTGCACTTAGTGTTCAGGCCCTCTTTTACAATCTTTAGGGAAGGCGTGATGCGAATTTCTGAGACAGGTATGGTTTTCTTACAAGGTTGTACAATTGCGCATTCTGTCCTCCTTGTTACTGCTCCTCACGGTCTCTGAACTGTCTTGATTACATGCACCGCACATTTTGATACGACTCTATTGGAGGATTAAATGTGGTTTAGTTTCTTAAAGGTTTATGAAAATGTATACAAATAAGGAAGATCTCGAATTTGGGAAAATCGTTTTCTAAAATTAGAAATTCAGAAAAAACGAAGGATGGAAAAAAGAAACAATATTAGGAAACTAGGGCCTATGGAATAGATTTTACGAGTTTGATTTTATAAAATTTTCTGAAAGCTATAGCTTATAGTTTTTGAAATTTCTTCCGCATAACTTTCTTTTAAATTCTCAAACATGATCTGTTTGTCTTGCAATTTTTTTCTTTTTCCTTCTGCAGGGCTGAAGTCTACCAGTTATCCTTCCATTGCATAGTCCTAGCCCTTATACCTACTCCTACAAACAAAATTTGTTAGTCCATCTTCCAAAATCTAGCTCTTATGGCTACTGGATAGAGAAGGATAATATCCCTTTCTTGTTCGATCTGCTCTGTTCTATATAGCATTATAGCATAGATGCATTACCTTTTTCTTGAGTCTGTGAACCCTGAGTGAGAACTGTCATGAGCATATGGTTCCTCCTGTTGGCCAGTGCATTCCTTCTTGTTGGTTGATTTGAGTCTACCAGTTCTCAGTATGCTTCGTTCTCTTCTCTTGCCATCCCTCTTTTGCTTTGGTGACCAACCCATGGATTTGCAAGTTAATAAGGGTCTGTCTACCCAGCTGGAGAGTCATTGATTTGCTACTTAAGTATCCAGCTCTTGCTACAAACGATTGGAAGATTAATGTTACATATATCTTTCGGAAGTTCTATTACATACATAAAATAAAGGAACTACTTTGCGTAACGGAGGAAAGCCATGGAGAGGTATACCCGACTCCGTTTCCATTAAATATTTCATTTCGGTTTCCTGGTATGTTGATTTTCAATTGCTTGTTTGTTTTTGGCATTTGCATTTTTAGGTACAAGTTAATCAAAGAAGTTGGTGATGGTACTTTCGGGAGTGTTTGGCGAGCTATCAATAAGCAGACGGGAGAAGTTGTAAGTTGCTCTCTCGGAGAACTCTGCCTGCCTGTGAAAGTTTTGTTCTTGTTTTTTAGTTAACACAAGCTTTTTTCGGGCAGGTTGCAATAAAAAAGATGAAAAAGAAGTATTACTCATGGGAAGAATGTATAAGTCTGAGAGAAGTGAAGGTAGAGTGGATTGCTTTTCTTGTAATATCATCTGTCTTTTTAGCTGTATGTTTACTGATTCCTTTATTCCTGACAGTCACTTAGGAGAATGAATCATCCGAACATTGTGAAGCTGAAGGAAGTCATCCGGGAAAATGATATCCTATACTTTGTTTTTGAGTACATGGTACATTGTTGATTGTTTGCTTTCTGATTCTTTTTTTTTGCCAATACTTCAATCCTTTGCTAAAATCTATATATGTATTTTTCTTGATCAGGAGTGCAATCTGTACCAGCTTCTGAAGGATCGGCAAAAGCTTTTTGCAGAAGCTGGAATTAAAAATTGGTGCTTTCAAGTTTTTCAAGGCCTTTCATACATGCATCAGCGTGGATACTTCCACCGTGACCTTAAGCCAGGTATTTTATGGCCTCGAGTTGTTATGCCACGTAGGGACTAAAACGTATACATGCAGAATGGACTATTTTATATTCAATTTTAGTTTTTTTTTCTGCAAGTCAGTATTAAAAAATCTTGCAACTGAAATTGTTATTTATTTTGGTGTTGCAGAAAACCTTCTTGTCTCCAAAGACGTCATTAAGATTGCCGATTTTGGTCTAGCCCGGGAAGTTAATTCAAACCCACCCTTTACGGAGTATGTCTCCACACGCTGGTAAGTTTCACTTCCCTGTCCTTTTGTGATGGCATTTTGTAAATATGCTGATATACTGCCCTTACCTAGCATGAACTATTGGTTCCATCAGGTACAGGGCGCCTGAAGTGCTGCTGCAGTCATATGTGTACACTTCAAAAGTTGGTTAGTATAAGCACTGCTCCAATTCAGAAGTGTCTTAATAATTACGGCTAGCAATTCCAGTGCTTAACAATTAGATAATTTTTTTGTTCAGATATGTGGGCAATGGGTGCTATTATGGCTGAGTTGTTCACTCTGCGCCCTCTCTTTCCTGGAGCTAGGTATGCATCCATATGCTTAATCAGGTTTTGCTGATTAAGAAATGTTAGGAAAGAGATTTCGGAATGAATGAAGTGGTGACGTCTCTCAATCTGTGCAGTGAAGCAGATGAAATCTACAAAATTTGCAATGTCATTGGCAGCCCAACTGAGGTGACATGGTCCGAGGGGCTTAATCTTGCTAGGGCTATCAATTACCAATTCCCTCAGGTACTATTTGAGCCTGTACCATCAAGGAATAAAAGAGGGTCTGGGTTTAGTGGTTGACATAAGGCTATTATGGCTATACCGATTGTCATCTTGCAGCTTCCTGGTGTACCACTTTCAAGTTTGATACCGTCTGCAAGTGGAGATGCAGTTAACCTTATTGAGGTATTTGACCATTCTTTTCGTTGGGTTTTACCTTATCTTATTTGACATTTGTCAAAGTATCTCGCTTGCTTGCTTTTCTATTCTGATTCATATCCTATTATTCGCTACCTTTTCATGATCATGTAGCGCCTTTGCTCATGGGATCCTTGCAAAAGACCAACTGCTGCGGAGGCCCTGCAGCACCCGTTCTTCCAGGTAACAAAGATTGCTCGGAATTCTGCGTCGTTATTGCTGCCTGTAGTGTAGCTTTGCTCTAACCGACTTGTGATTTCCCATGGCAGAGTTGTTTATATGTTCCCCCATCTCTCCGACTGAAGCCGTCTGCTGCTAGAACTCCACCTGGTATTTTGACATAATTTCTTGATTGTTCTCTTCACAACAAGATCCTGTGTGTTGGATGATTGCAAACTAAATTCAGTTGTGGGGTATATTGTAGTTGGGCCGAGGGGATCATTCGAGCAAAGTTCCACGAAGAGATTTCCGGTGGCTCTCACAAATCCTAAGCCAGTTAATAGCTATGTTACTCCTAAGGTGAATGCTCCTTTCAGCACTGGCATCCAACGGAAGCTGGATATGGCTAATCAGGTGACTTTTCGATTGTCCCCTTGTCAAGTTTCTCTGGTATTATTTTGTGCATTTTTTTTTTCCATCCGAGAATGGAAATACGATATTTTTCACTCGACTCTGATGTTGGGATTGTCAGTTCTCGAAGGATGCAACAACGAAGAACAACAAACCCATGAAGAGCTCTTCTGCCAGAGATGCCAAATACAGACCACCTGGAAGGAAGACTCCTCGTAAGTTGGAGATCGATCAATTTACAAAAAAAAAAGGTTGCTTTTTGTTGCCTCTGTATACTTAATCTGAAATTGGAAATTTCGTAATGGCGGGGGGATGCAGCAGCATCTTTGAACAAGAGTAGGGGCACACGAGGAGTATCAGAGACAGCGGACAAACTGGCGAGCACCACCATTGGAGCTGCTGCTTCTGCACGGAGGCATACAATAACGACGGTGAGGGCGCCGCCGATGAAGGCAGGTTGGATGGGTGAGTCAACCAAGGATATGTTCTTGCGGCCGAATCAGCCTCCCTCCAATGCTTACACTCGTAAAGTTGCCGGTTGATCTCCTCCCCCCCTAACTGGTATATGAACCCCCCCACCACCACAAAAAAAAAAATAAAAAAAAATGGAGACATCATTACCGTAATGTCAGCGGTGTTTTGTCGTTTGTCTTTACTTTCACGGCTCTCTCTCGTCGATGCTGAGTGTCGTTTCTCGTTTGTTGTTGTGAGGTTCGGTCTTGTTATATGACGTAAACGTTGGAGTTTGGGTTTTGCAATAAAAAGTTTCTTTCTTGTAATGAATTTAAGCATCTCGGAATTCGCTTGCCAAAACCGAACAGAGCCGATAACAATAGAGGAACGCAGTCAAGGACGATTCTTATTAATACTGCTACCACCGGGACGAAGGGACTGCCAGAAGACAGGCCAGTTCTTCTGAGCCTCCTTCCATCCCAAGAAGGACCCTTCCCTCAACGGATCCCAGCTGGAGGAGACAATCCCGTAGCTCACTCCCAGCAGCGCCGCCCCGAAGAATATGAACGATACGATGAACGGAACCCACGTCGGAACATCGATCTTCAACCCCACCTTCAGGTAGTAGAAGAAAGGGAAGAACAATAGCCCTATGAAGAGAGGTATCCCCACCGTGAACCCCATCCTGCTTATCATCCTGTTTGTCACTATCTCCGGTATCACCCCTCCCTCTCTATCTTCCTCTTCCTCTTCGTCCTCGTCATCGTCGCTTTCGTCGCCTGGTTTCGGCTGCTTTCCTCTCTTGGTTTTCCTCGTGGGAGGTCCAAAGCCTCTCGGCCTATTCAGCGCTGCGAATAGAGGCCCTGCTCGGGATATATGGACGCGGGTGGTGACGCTGACGGGCCGACAGATTTCGGTGCCTGCCTTTCCATGGAAGAGTTGATGTGAATTTGGTGGCTTCTCCACCTGATCTGATTGCTTGCAGTAGTTCCCTTCAACCTGCTTTGTTTGAACCGTACGGACAAATTCATATACAGAAGAAGACTGCAGAATATGAATACGAATCATCGGCAAGCAAGATGGATGATTCCTTTCTTTACGCATCTCACCTCCTCCGATTCAGAATATCGTTACTGTATTCATAATGAAGTTCAAGAATCGAAGCAAGAATTTACACACACAAAACAACAGCGGAGAGAGAGAGAGCGAGTTACCTTGGAAGATGTTGGATGAGGAAGCTTGTACGGACATGCTATGGCAGCCATTTCACCAGACATGAACAACAGACGATTGCTTGACGACACAGAGAGAGATGAGATGATATTTATTGTGCCGCCATGGATTTTCTCATGCTCTGTTTCTTACTTTCTAGAGGAGAACGGATAAGGTTGTCTCTCTGACTTATGGATGAAAAAATCGAACCGAACCGAACCAGTATGAACCGGATTATTTGTCTTACTTTTTCTATTACAATTTTCCGGAAATCCTTAATAAATGAGAAAATTTTAAATACGAATATCAAGCCCCAAATTTCGAAGCCAAAACCGGACCATAATTCATATTGGAAGAAGCTCTCCATATCCAAATAATTCTAATTTTGAACCGGAACCGGTTTGTCTTATACCGAACAGGTTTTTCTTTCAATCCCAGCGGATAGTTCTCCGTCCCTTATCGGCTCGTAGAAAGAAGCAGATAGTCTTGAAGATCAGCAACCAAGCCTCTGCAGACGCCGGGAGATCGAGAGACGCGACAAATTTGAAACTTTACTCCATTAGTGGTATCCTTCTTCCCCATTTCGTTTCTGAAGATTTTGATTTCAGCGTTTAGGGTGTTCCAGTTGTCGCTGAGTTTGATCAGTCGTTTAGCCGGTTCCGAGAAAAAAACTACGTGGAATGTGTGTGAAAGATTTGAATTTTCCATTACGCTTGTATTCCTAGTTTTGTTATGGGGTTCAGCTTGCGCTTTGAGGGTCTGATGATGAGCTGTTTGGTTGCCGAGAAATGAATCGGATGCAGGAGATAAAGATTTCGCCTTTTCTTTTCAACTTATAGTTAGTTGTCTATAATTTTCCAGGATAGGGGGGGGGGGTGATCTTGTTTATGTAATATGTGAAAATGGAAATGCCGATGAAATTTATAGAACCTTGTCTTGTAGGCTTTCCATCCTTGCTTGTGTAATCGATAGTACTGAGAACAAGAATTAGCTTATGCCTTATAGTTCTGTTATCAATCTCTAGTTGTTCTCCATGATTTGCAGGTCCTGATGATAATAAAGGGTATATTTAGGAGATACGAAAGGTGGAATCCTGTTCACCCTACTCATGGAGCATTTTGGGGCATGGGAATAGGAATCGGATGTGGGGTTGGATGGGGACCCGGGTTTGGCCCTGAGGTGATCGGTTATGTTGGAGCGGGCTGTGGTGTCGGTTTCAGCGTCGGTATCACTCTTGCCGGTGTTGGCATTGGTCTTCCGGCCAATTTTCTTTTTGCACTTCCTTATAACAGTATGATTCTTTTTCTCATGTGTTTCATTCATCTCTATCAGTAAGTAGTTTTTTTTTGGGGGTTCTAAGTTTGGTTTTTCCTTTTCAGCTGTAGAAGCAACCAGAAAGGGTGCTATCGAGATGTTTGGCGGATCCAGTAATTCCCCTTTCTTGAAAAATCTCTCGACGGATGGTTGGACTGATGTTCACCCTCAAGTTGCTGCCTTGCAGAGGCAACTTGGCGAGATATGCTCTGGTTTTAGCAAAAAGCCTCTCCTGAATAATGAGATTGACATTAAGAATGTGCCCATGTTTATTTCGCGTGAATGTGGAAGATTTGGCCATCTCCTTCTCCCCTCATGCAAAGGTAGAGCAAGTTGAATCTTTCTCCATTTCAAGTTTAAAACAATTTCCTTTTCGTCTGTTCGGGGTTTGATATTTGTATCTACTTCATTGATATTTTGGGGTTTGATATTTGCATCTACTTCATTGAATAAAAGAGTGGATGGAGATTGGAGAACGATGAGATATATCAAGTTTCTTTGCAGGTTAGACAACAGGCATGGGGGAAACCCTTCAGCTAACTCATGTGACCTGCCATGAGGATGTTAAGCATCATCTGATGAGACTTACCATGCTTTTGATATCCTCCTCTCCATTTTCAATTTTTGCCCTTTTCTTTGTTTTTGTGTATAGTTAGTTCTGTTGTCGTGGTGTAGCATCGATGTACAAGAAATGGAAAAGGGCAATGTTATCAAGCTTTGATTGTCATTTGTCTGTCACCAGTTTTGGCTATGTCATCTGCTTTTGTTGATGCGGAAATGAATCCACCAGGCCGAAATGGAAACCATTGACCATCTCTATCTATGCTCAGTACCTTCCATTTGCTTTAGCCGTGATTCTTCTTCCGCACCACAAGCGTTTTGGCCGGTGAGCTCGCTCGTGTCGAACGAGACAGATTTGCTTCGACCTTTCTTGGGCTTCCATTGGTTTGACCTGAGAGGAGCGAAAGAGGTTGCCTTTCCTTTAACATCTCTTAGCCTCCTCCTGAAGAAGTTGGCATTTTTGGTTCCCTTCAGTCATGTGCGTGCGTGCGTGCGTGCGTGTGTATATATGTGTGTACGTTTGGTGTCTAAGGAAGAAGTAAGGCAATGGAGAAGAATGGAAATGGAAGCCCCTAGTGTTTCCCTCGCCATTGCCGTCGTCATCTCCCAAGATTCCTGTTCTGAATTTCCTGTTAATCTTTCTTCGCAGTCTGTGTTGTGAGCGGTGTCTTCAGTCGACTTTGGACAAGTCATCTGTCATGTCGTCCAAATATATATATATATATATATATATATACATATATTACTGTTTTACGATACGATATTTTATATCCATTCTGGCAATCTCCCATTTGAGAAAGAAGGACCCGCGCAATTTAACGTCTCTCTTCGTTAGTTGGAAATTTTATAATACAAATAGAAAATTGGCTTTTTTGCAAATTTTATAAACCGGACTATTATTCTTATTACATATGGTGTTTTATTATAAACAAAAAGATGTGATTTTCCATTTACTTTTAGAGGTGCTTGCATATGGTCAGTCCATGGTCATTGTTTAATGCAAAAAAAAAAAAGGTACTGGAACCAAGATTCGATTGGGATAAAGAAAGACCACGAAATTTTTTTTTTATTTATTTAACGTGATGTAAAGATGTGCATAACGACATGCCACAAGATAAGGGCTTAGCTGTTATACACAAGAGCAGTGTTGCATATGTTAATTTATCGACGGATAATCGTATATAATTACCTAAATTTTTATAAAATTTTTAAATAAATACTTAAAAGTATAAAATTTTCAGATAAATAATTGAACTTTTCAAAATTTCCATAAACTAAACTTTTACAAAATTTCTAAATAAAACCAAAATTCGTTGTTTAATTTATAACGGAATCCGACGAAAATTGATGACTCGGTCGATTAACATCGTCAACGAAAATTGTTTTATTTGGCAAAATTTTAAAAGTTTAGGTATTTATATAAAAGTTTTGAAAAATTCAGGTATTTATTTGAGATTTTTATAGTTTAAGTATTTATTTGGTAATTTTACAAAAGTTCAAGTATTTATATGCGATTATCACTTTGTTAACGTGAATGAATATTTCCAAACACAAGCGAATGCACATTTAAACTAGAAATTACTCCTCCCTCGGTTGATTAAAAAATATGGTTTCAGATTTTTTTTTCACGATTATTAAAAGAATAGAAAAAAAATCATATATATCCTTATTAAATTTCAATATTTTATTAAAGTTCAATATTTTTAATTAAAGATAGAATTATAAATGTTTTTAAGAAATCATCTAAAACATCTAATTAGCAATAAAAAAAATATTCTGTACAACGCGTCTATCGAAAAGGGAGGAATTAACAAATCGCAATGCTGTTAAGTTTAATAATTACTTTGAGGAAATCATATAATTAGCCAACGTTGTGGAGTTATCGTTCTTGATTCGGTAATTAAACACGAAAAAAATAAATCAAAATCACATAAAAGTTAAATCAAGATCGACAACAAATGAAATCTAAGAACAAGCCCTCTATCTCCCTCATAACAATGATCAGACTTGTTCTTGCTCATCAGATGCCACCATCTTCTGGTTTCTACTGGGTTTGGTTGCTGTCGGAATCTTCTTCTTGAGTGTGTTCTTCGACGGGCTGATTCTTTCCCAGCATTCTTGCAGCCAAAGGAATACCACACGACTTGTTCATGACATCCCGTATGTACTTCCTCTCATTCCTCGGATTCACATCGATGCTATTCTCCTTGGCCGCGTCCTTGTATATGTCGTACACGATCGCCGGATCTGAAATCGGGTATATACGATGCAATCCATGTTCTTCCCCGGCCATCTTCTTCGCCAACTCCTCTTCCCGGCTCGTCATTATCACCCTTCCTCCCGACCCTTTTGGGAATCCGCACGAGAGATGCTTCCCCCATTCGTTTCCTTCCGGAATCTCGTCTTCGCCCAGTCTCTCCTCCCACTCGTCTTCTTCCCGGACATCGTCCAGCACTATCAGATACTTCTTCCCCCATAGACTCAGGTAGAGTAGGTACAAAAGCCTCGCCAGTTCCTCGTCTCGATCACGACCCTTTCCTGCCGCATCCTCTCTGACACGTGCCCAGTCTCTCCTCCCACTCGTCTTCTTCCCGGACATCGTCCAGCACTATCAGATACTTCTTCCCCCATAGACTCAGGTAGAGTAGGTACAAAAGCCTCGCCAGTTCCTCGTCTCGATCACGACCCTTTCCTGCCGCATCCTCTCTGACACGTTCAAGAATCTCTCCCTCGACCCCGAGACTCTCCAAGAGTCTCTTCACGGCGGCTATCTTCTGGCCACTGTCCTCTTTTTCGCCGTCTCTGTACATAGAAACCCATATCCTCGGGACGTAAGCGTTCTTGACGGACTCATCGTTGAAAATCTTCTGGCACAAAGCTGTCTTCCCGACGCCGTATCTCCCCACGACAGCGAGCGTCTTGAACTCATCCGAGTCCTTCTGATTCAGTAAGAAGCTCTTCAACGACAGGATCTCGTTCTTGAACCCACGAATCTCATGACCCGGAGTTTTCGACGTCGTCTCGGTACGTTTGGCCTCGGACGGGCCGCTGCTGCTTCCGGGTCCGTTGGGGATTGGTGGAGCATGGTTCCCGGCCGAGGCTCCTGCCTGAGTCGAGCCACCTTTCCTAGAGGAGGAGTGAGATTCGAACTGGAGCTTCTCCTTCAACCATGTTTCGTAGCCTTGACCGAAGAGTGTCTTGATTCCACTTAGATCGGAGTCATGAGATCGATTTTCTTGAGCCATTTCGACTGAAAGAGAAGAGAGTCAGTTCCCAAAGGGGAGGAGAAGACAGACGAAAACAGAGAAGCCAAAGCTGGTTAATTGCAGAGACCACTTTGATTAACAATTTTTTTTTTAAAAAGAAACTTCTGAAATTCATAATTAAATATTAATACAAAAATTCTGGAAATCAAACCAAAATTCAAAAAAAAGGAAATCGCCATTAAAACTATGTATTCTTCACAAGTCAACTAAAAATGATGATGTGGCAATGACTTGGCTTCCAAATTATGTACACATCATCAAAATTATATAATTTATTTTTGTTTGAAATGATGAAGTGTTATAATTTTAATGATGTGTACATAACTTGGAAGTCAAGTCCTTGTCACATCATCATTTTTATTTGAGTTAGCAGAGCGGGGGGTTTTCGGTGAATTATTAATAAGTTTGGAGTTTTATCGGTTAATCATAACAAGTATATGATTTTATTGGTAGGTAAAAAAGTATACGATTTTTCGTTGACACATCAATATCAATAGTACTTTATGGCGATTTCTTTTTTTTTTCAAATAATGCCATAAGTACACTTTCACAGTGTCCATATCATCGTAATCTGGATTTATTAATAAAATTTGTTTTGAGCTTGGCAAAAAAAGAGTGCATATATGACAAGAATGGTTTTGATGTAAAACCAAGATTTTATTATTTAAACAGATAATTCCGACTAAGAACAAGCTCGAATTCAGTATTTTACTCTCATAATCGACAGCCTGTTTTTAAGTTAAAATATTATTGCAAGTTGATGATTTAATTAAATAAATAAATGATTCGTCTGTACACTTTCGGACAAAAGAAAGGCTACACGACCTTTCAAATGAAGATAACATTAGCTTTTAATTATTGCAGGCTTTCGTTTTGGATATAATATTTTTTTAGAGGTTTTGGATATAATATTAATAATGCAAATAGGGAAGAATATTAAATGACAAGGATCGGCCAATTGCATGTTAGTTCTTAAGTCATGGACCCCGTTACCCTCGTCGTCATACATTATTGCATTCATACTTAAAGTCGTGGTCGTCATATGATATATATATATATATGTATATATATATATATGATACATGACATGATGCAGTTCAAGTGAGTTAAATGGAACAAAAAAAAAATCTGTCTAGAATCTTATTTTTGTGCATCGAAAATCCTAGGCTACAGCTGGCACCTAGGTTTTGTAACTTCGTCTAAATTTGAAAATGGGGGATTTATTTGTTTAATCCACTATAGTACTATGAATTTTGTATATTTTGTCTATATCTATCTATGTATATTTTTGGTATTATATTCAGAAGATTTTAATTTTAAAAAAATGATCAATCAAAATACTTTGTAATGGAAAAAGTCGGAACAAAAAGGAAAGGGAGGAGAAAATACCTGGAACGTGGAGGACTGTCCGAGAGGAGCTTCTGCTCTGCAGGGAGTCCATCTATGGCGGACTGCTCAGACAGTGAATGAGTAAGCATTCAAATACTCAAACTTTTGAAGCATATATCTCAGGCTCCGACAACAATGGAGGGACTAGTAGTTCAGCTTGTCGAGACGGCAAAACCAGATAACAATACCGCGGCGGTTTTGCTGAAACCAGTGAAAGACCTGTGGGACACATGGAACCTGAGGGTCATCGTCATGTTCAGTCTCACCCTCCAAACGATCCTCATCTTCTTCGCCCCGCATCGGAAACGGACCGCCAAGAAGTTCCTCGTCTTCATCATTTGGTCGTCTTATCTTCTCGCCGACTGGTCGGCGAATTACGCGGTCGGACAGATCTCCGACAGCCAAGGGAACGCCCCGAAGCCAGGCGATCCGGCGGAAAACGCCGAGCTTCTTGCGTTCTGGGCACCGTTCCTTCTCTTGCACCTCGGCGGTCCCGACACCATCACCGCCCTGGCCTTGGAAGACAACGAGCTCTGGCTCAGGCACTTGTTCGGTCTCCTCTGCCAAGCCATTGCCAGTGTCTACGTGTTCTTGCAGTCAATACCCAACAGGCTTCAGACACCGCTCATTCTCATGCTGCTGAGCGGAGTGATCAAGTATTTCGAGAGGACCAGAGCCTTGTACTTGGCCAGTACCGACAGGTTTAAGGATTCGATGCTGGGGAAGCCAGATCCTGGTCCGAACTACGCCAAGCTCATGGAGGAATACCAGACCAAGAAGGATATGAACATGCCCACCCAAATTATTATGATGGAGGAGCCTGAGAAAGGCCTGAAATCCGACGGGAAAGGCCAGAGAAAGAAGCTGACTGATCTCGAGGTCGTCCAGTACGCTTACAAGTACTTCAACACCTTCAAGGGTCTGGTCGTCGATCTCATCTTCACCTTTCAGCAGCGGGACGAGAGCATGAAGTTCTTCGACTCTCTCCAGGAAGAAGATGCATTGAAGATATTGGAGGTGGAGCTCAACTTCATCTATGAAGCTCTTTTCACCAAAGTCGAGGTTCTTCATTCCGGGATTGGACTCTTTTCTCGCCTTGCGGCCTTTGCATTTCTTCTGGCTTCCCTTATCCTCTTCAAGGGGAAGACAAAGAATGGATATGATGGATTCGACGTCGGCCTTACTTACGCATTGCTCATTGGTGGAATAGCTCTTGATGTGATTGCTATCCTCATGTTCTGTTTATCCGACTGGATGTTTGTGAGATTGAGGAAGCTGAAGGAAGATCCCGACGAGGAAAAGACCACCTGCATTGGAGGCTGCATTGACAAAATCTTCAATTGGATCCTCAAACTTAAGGAGCTCAAGTGGAAAAAAGATGAATGTTACCAGGAGAAGGGTTCTACCAAGGGGCATGAGGTGCTCGATAGAAAATTTGTGTTCAGGAGATGGTCTGAGTATGTGTATGCATACAACCTGATCGGATGCTGCCTGAGGATACCCCCCGAGAGAATCCACCATACCAAGGGTCTCGTCCACAGCATCTTCGACAAGATTATTAGCTTTTTATTCGTAGGTCGAGTTTTGAAGTACACCCTCCATGCATGTGTCTCCTTTTTCAGAGCTGCAAAAAAGAGAACTCGTAAGATTTACGAGCAGATCGACAGTTTGATGATTCGATCCAAGAAACATAGGGCGGTTTATTACAGTCTTTACCTTGTCAAGGGGTTCCTCGATATCTGGAAGACTATCTATCAATGGCTTGGGAGTTTCATCGATTGGTTCCTGGAATTCTTCAGCATCACACAGAAGCTTGAGGAGATCATGTTTGTATCTAGCCGTCGACTCACCAAAGAACTGTGGGAGTTCATATTCAAGGAAGTGCAAGGTAAATCCCATCTCGCAGACAATCCAGAAAGTGCCAAGAGGGTGTCCTCGGCAAGAGGTGATTGGACTCTGCGTCATATACCGAGCCAAGATAAAAGGGTGAAGGAAGAAGACCGTGAGAAGCTCCTGCAGTTTGTGACTCAAGTGGATTATGACCAGAGCATTTTGCTGTGGCACATTGCCACGGAGTTGTTCTACCAAGTGGAAGGAGCCACCGAAGAAAACTACAGCTACCGTGAGTTCTGCAAAATGCTTTCAGACTACATGATGTACCTCCTGATAATGCAGCCTACTCTGATGTCAGCTGTTGGAGGAATCGGGAAGATAAGATTCAGAGACACGTGTGAAGAGGCCTCAAGGTTTCTCCAGAGGAGGCATATCGACATCGGGAGCACAAAATATACGGATGTGGAGAAGAGGAAGAAGTTTACTGACCAAATTCTCTTGGTAAACACGGATGTTGAGCCCATGGATGTGAAGGGAGATAGAAGCAAGTCTGCACTTTTTGACGCGAGTAAGCTGGCACATCAGATTCAAGAGCAACAGAGAAAAGGGAACGAAGACATGTGGAAGGTGATGAGCAAAGTGTGGGTGGAGCTGCTTTGCTATGCAGCAACTCATTGCAATGCTGAACAACACGCAGCTCAGCTAAGCAAAGGTGGCGAACTCATCAGCTTCGTATGGCTATTGATGGCTCATTTTGGCCTCGGAGACCAATTCCAAATCACCAAGGGGGATGCCAGAGCAAAACTCATCGTGGGCAAGTGATATCACATGCACCGAATACACCGGCATAATCAGATTGTGTTTGTCATCAATATTTTCAGGGTTTTGTGTTCAGCTTTCAGTTTTATGTTTCATGTTGAACAAATCTGCATTACCCACATCCATGCACCCCATGAAATCACTGAACATTCATTTTCTAGATGCTTATGATCCTCTTACAAGAACTCGATCAATGTAGTTCCTCCTCAAGACTCACTAAGCAACATCATGATCATATATGCCTTGTGCCCTTTTGCCTAGTTGATTTCCTTAATGATTCGTTTGTGATAAGCCTGAAACTTGGTTCGTTCGTAGGCCAAATAAGAGTGTAGTTAAAATCTATAACAAAACATGAGAAATCAAAACTCAGGATGACAGTTAATCACTTCAACATAAACCCTAAAATTTCCCCCAAATGAGAAAGTTCAGCAAAGATTTGTGACCTGAAAATTGAAGAGGTAGAGAATTGGTGCTCGGGTTGGGGCATCATCATGCTACCTCACGCTCCGATTGCATCTGAACAAAAAAGTTGGACAACATGTTGCTTCACAAGGGCACAGCTAGCTGCCCAGTTATCCATACTTCATGAATATGAAGAGAATGAGGAGGAGGATGACAGGATGGAGAAAGAGGATGACAAAATGGAATGTATTCAGACAATATGTGGAATGTATCAATTTAAACTCCAAGGAAGCATTGTTGCTTGTGCAGATGGGTACTACGGATTAGATATCTTGTGGTTTAGTCTTACCTTTTGTTTGTTGATCCGGCCGATGAGCAGATGAAAACAAAAAGAAATCCCGGTTCATACTCCGTGACAAGAGCCTTGTCTTTGCTTTTCCCTCATATGTTTGCTGTCCAAATGATGGCAAACCTGTGGAAAGGGGCTAGCATGATACATCATTTTGGTAATGCAACTAACTTCATCCATAGCCATAAGTCTTTAAGGCACGTGAAGAGTCTACACGAAATATATGGTTTACACAAATAGGAGATGTGTATTTATTCAGGGTATTAAGATACAGATAGGTAACAACAACTAAAGGAAGTCAAGGCTTCTGGCAGTCAACTTATTTGGGCTTTCGCGTGGATGCCTGTGGTAATGGCCTCCTCCAGACTCCATTAGCATCAGTGGGACAGAATGTGACCTTTGGACATTTGTATTTCTCCAAGAGAATCATATTTGGAAACAGCGCTTGCAAATCTTTCCACTCTGCTTTGAACTCATCCAAGTACTTCAAACGTAAGACCTTAATGTCGTATTTGATATCTTCATTTGATGTTTTGCCGCCGATTCTACTCACTTTTCCTCCTCTGATGGCGAGCTTCTCTAGTATTCCAGGATCATCAGGTTTCAGCCAACTCGTGGGTAGCTCTTCCTCAGGGAAACCTTCTAGCTCCAAAGTCTTCAAGGTGGGAGGTAACTTGTATGTGCCATTTGATTCTGGTTTTTTGGCTGTTCTCTTTTCTTTTTTGGATATAATTGATGCATCGTTACACTCTTTAATCTTGCTCTTCTTGTCTATACCGGGGCCCGATGACTTTGCTGCAGTGTTTTTCATGACCGCATTGTCTCCTTTGTTATCATGTGGCTCCTTATGGATTGTGGCGTTTGATTCTCGGGAAGCATTCTTTTCCTTATCTTCCTCGACTATCTCTTGTGTATTATTGCTCCTTGTATCTATCCCATCATGCTTTCTGCCTTCTCCTACATCAACCTCCCCCGTTTTCCCATTTTCTTTGTTCTGCCCTTTGTTGTCTCCTTTTGGACCATCTGGCTTCTTCTGGATTAAGGGTTTCTTCATTCCTGCAAAGGACTCACCTTCTTGTACCTTGTCCGACTTATGGATCTCTGCTTCTTCTCCACCACGCTCCTTGCTCTCATCTTGACCAACCTCCTTTTTCCTACCTTCTTTCATTTGCTCGTTGTTCTCTGCTTTATGAGCATCTTGCTTCTTCTGGATCATGCCTTTTGGTTCTTGCGAGGGAATCATGTTCTTATTTTCCTGGATAACCTGGTCTGACTTTTGGATCTTTTCTTCTTCCCCGCCCTGCTCCTTTCTTCTTTCTCCATCAACCTCCTTTCTCCCATCTTCCTGCTTTTGCTCTTCATTGTCTCCTTTGTGATTATCTGATTTTTTGGGAATCACAGGTTTCGGTTCCTGCGAAGGACTCGCCTCCTTACCTTCCTCAACAACCTTGTCTAACTTCTGGGTCTTGGCTTCTTCTCCATCCTGTTTCCCATCTTGTTTCTTTTGCTCTTCGTCTCCTTTGTGACCATCATGCTCCTTCGAGATAACACGTTCTAGTTCTTGTGAAGGACTTGGCTTCTTATCTTCCTCAACAATCTTGGCTTCTTCTCCATCTTGTTTCTTTTGCTCTTTATCTTCTCCTTTGTGACCATCTTGCTTCTTCGAGATAGCACGTTCTAGTTCTTGTGAAGGACTCGCCTTCTTATCTTGCTCGACAGCTTTGCCTGACTTTTGGGTCTCTACTTCTAACCCACCGTGCTCCTTGGGTTCTTCTAGATCAACCTTCTCAACTTTTCCATCTCCTCCTTTCATCTTTGTTTTGCTAGTTCCTATATCGTCTTCCTTCCTGTATTGAACTCTGTCTTTTGACTCTAATGGGAGTGTTCCTTTCTCTTCTGCATCTCCTCTCTTATCCATGCTTGTCTTCCCCTTGTTATCTCCTTGGTCCCCCTCTTTCTCATTCGTGCTTTTGTGTTGTAACTTTAGCCTAATTGCCTTTTCTTTCTTCCTCCATGCTTTGCTAAACCACGTCGTGTCGGTGCCTTCCTTCTCGTCCTTCCCAAATCGGGCTCCCCATGCTATTTTCAGACTCTTGAGTTGAGTAAGCTTAGTCAATGACTTCATCAAGTCTTCTACCTTGAGATCGTATTTGTTTATGTTGATGCTCAGTTTTCTCAGGCTCGTCATGCGTTCCAACTGAGAAAGCGTACAACAATTTTCCTCGTCGGCATCACTGACCACAAAGCCTTTAAGAACTTGTAGCTTCGAGAGTTCGGAAATTTCCTTGGGCATGCGATCAAGCATATAGCACTCCGATACATCCAAGTAAATAAGATTCTCAAGTGAGTCTATATCATCCGGAAGGACCTCCAAGTTGTAGCATGACCTGAGATCCAAGATCACCAGCTTGGAGAGCTGACAAATGGACTTATCGAGCTTTTCAATTCTCGATATCCCTTGGAAACTTACAAGCCTTAGCTCTTTCATGGTCTTTATATTCTCCAGAAACTCGGTGCTTTCTACCTCAATGTGGCATTTAGGGGTTCGTTCCCATCTTCCTATATAAAGAACCTTAAGCGCATTCATATGCTGAAACCACTTGAATGTGAAATCGGGAAACCGTTCAGAAGAATTGAACACCGTCTTCACAGTGTCGAGGTTCTTCTTCATCTTAGACAATTTTGCCTCTTTCTGCAACGAGGACCCTTCTACCAAGCAAACCTTATGCTTTTTTGATACTGCCATGGAAGGCTTTTTCTTTTTATTTTCATAGATTTGAAAGAAATTCAATTTTTCTGCTAAATAGATAACCGCAGAATGAACATGGGGATCCATCTTATAACTGTTTGGCTTTAGTTTCCGGTCATCTTTAACAGGCTCAATCAATCCTCTCCTTGAGAATCCATCAAGAATTTTTTCTGCTTTCACTTCAGCATCTTTAGCACCTTCGGCACCTTTAGCAGGAAGAAAGCCTTCTCCAATCCACCAGTACATCAACATTGTCTTTTTAACCTCACAATTCTCTGGGAAGACAGTGAAGCTCAACAAGCATAGCATGCCAACGATGTCAAGCCCCGAGATTTTCTCTATGACTTCGGCAGCTAAGATATCAAGGAACTCTTTACTATTCCCATGCAGACCGGGCAAGTATAGATCTCTCTTCTTCCCAAGCATATCTGACTTCAGTTTAGAGATGTCTTTGCTGATCCTCTTGATTTTGGACATAGTCTCAGATGGCAGAGCCATCTCCTTCAGTATATTCTTCTCCTTCAGTATATTCTTTAGAATTCCTTTCAATTCATCGGCTTTCTCATCAAGATCCTTCGACACACGAGTATAAGCTCCATATTGTTTTTTATCCTTAAGTATTGTTTTAATTCGACCAATGACAATTCGCAATGCCCAGATATCTTTCTCTTCTTCGCTTTGGTTTTGTGACTTTACGCTCTCGTTGCCACTCTCGTAGCTTACTTGGTTTGCAGCCACGTTCTTGTGCCTTAACGCACATAGAAGCTTTTTAACCCCTACCCAACGGGATGCCCTTTTGCCCTTATAAGATCCTTTACCAGAGCCTTCATTGTCAGAACGGCTGACATCTTTCAGGGGTTTGGATAAACTGTTCTGACACTGAAATAACAGAATCTCCAGCTCAGATAGGATACTGATTGAATGAACTCTTTTATAATCATATGATAGGAACTGCTCCTGCTTATTCTCCTGCTTTTGCTCCATATGTCACTGCAAATCGATTGATGCAGTGATGCACGTTTTTGTTGAGAATCCTTCAGCTAAATTGCCTTAGACAACACTGAAATCCATTATTGACCTCAATGACAATCGAGAAAAGCCAGCAGAGAATTGTAAGATTCAACTGCCAGAAACACCCATGGTCTTTCGAAAATGTTGGACAATGGAATACCACAAACAACACGCAGATCAAACCGGTGACCAATTATTATTGATTTCGTAGCAGAAGAAAGTAGGATCACATAAAGTCTTTTTTTTCAAGGGTTTAAGAAATGACTCTTATATGTTGAAACATAACAAAATCACATAGAAATGCCTATAGAGGGATTTCCCAGAAGAAAGAAACCGATGCATAAAACAGTTGCCAGCAAGGGAGAAAAAGACATACCAGTTTAACGAAACAATTGAGAGCTCTTGTAATCTGTTCAAGAGTAAAAAAACAGCGGAATTGTGCTCTGAGACATACAAAACAGTGTTCTGGACAAATAATTTACGCGCTTTCACATATAGAAAATGAAAGGGAATGCCATTATATGAGGAGTTTACGTGGAATCAATTGGAGTCCACTGCTCTACCTGAACAAGCAAGCAGAGCGGTGATGTTTTCCTTCAAGTAAAACCTGCATGACCATGAGTTTAGAAAACGAATGAACTAAGACAAGATTCACAAAGAGCCTTCCAAGAACTAACAAAAGGTTCAGTTTGTGCTCTTGATCCATTCTTGTAAATTGTAATTAACCAGTTTCTTCCGAACTATATATACACACACACACACACACACGTATATGGAGGCTACATTAGTTTAGAGAGGCAGGATATATTATCAGATAATCTAACCTTTGAAAGAGATCAGAGGCTTTTGGATTACTGAAAACTAAAGCCGAGCAACGCAACAGTCTCACACCAAATTCAAAACATAAACTATACTGCAATGAATATCGTCACCCCGTTCAAAGGATTCCTTCTCTTCTACAGACAATAGAAATTGATTCCTCCACGTTTTGGAGAGGAATGAATCAAAACAAAATCCTTTTTATGCATCTAACTGGTGAGTGACAATGTAATCCAAACCAAAAAAAACAAAGAAGGACAAGCTTTGAATGAAGAAAAAAACGTAACATTTACCTGCTTCGAGGAATCGTTTCCTATAATGTTTCACTGGGACATTACGTCGAGCATGTTATGTCCGATTCTCTAACCAGATCTTTCACCCTCCTTTTTCTGAATAAAAAACTCGAGAAAGCAATCCTTTATAAGCCCAGAAAAATCCCGAAAGCATCAAATTTTCTTGGAGGTCGATACAAACCTAGAGAACCCATGGAAGACCCAGTTCTTTTCTTCCTCGTTGCGCAAATCAATGGAGAGAACTTAACGTGGAAAAGCAAAGTATATATACCCATGCAAAAACACACTGGTCCGGCAAACCCCATTTCTCCATTGATTCTCTTCGCTTTGGCTCTTCATATTCACGCTCTGCCTCTGCATTGATTCTTTTCGTTTCGACCCTTCCCCAAAACCCTAAACCCCACTCCAAATCCAGATAGCCCAAATTTGTCTACCTCTAGATTCGTTCTCTCAAGGGTTAGACGAATCGAACTTCCTTCTCCACAATCCAATCCATGTAAACGGCTCGTACGTCTCAATCTGCTGATCAACAGCATAAAAAAAACGCATCTTACTACGGATAGGCTGCAAATTAATAGCAAAGCTCAATTTCATATGCTTTGAGTGGAATCACAAAATATTCCAAAAGAAAAAGCTCGCAGGAAAATGCTTCATTTTCAAAGAAGATACAATGATAGAATATTAATTTCTTTCATCTCAAGAGAAAGGGGAAGAATCCGGCCTTCTTCTTTCTTTTTTTTTTTTAAAAATATTTTTTAAATAGTATCTTTCCATTTTTTTAATCATTTTCATATTCAATATAAATTCGATTTTTAAACTTATATAATCAACTGAATGAAAAATTATGTTCGATTGGTTTATTGATTTTTAAATCTAATTAGTCTCGAACACCCCATTCAAAAATTTGTTGGAATAGAATTTTAGGCTTTGAATGGTAGTGGTTTTGATTTTGGTTTTAGATTTTGGTTTTTGATTTTTAGTTTTTGGTTTTTGGCTTTTGGATTTTATAAGTTTATAAATCTAAAAAATGTGGTTTTTGGTTTTGTCACACCCGCATCCCGCTTACGGTTGTGCCACATGGACAAGTAAAATAACAATCAAAACATTTCGAAATGTAAAATCGCGGGAAGATTAAAACCATTCATTTTAAATATAATACAGCGGAAGACGTATAAAATACATAAATACGTTTGTACACGTATGCAAATATACCAGTATATAATACAAGTGGTGAATGTATAATTCAAAAGTCTGAAGTCACCACTCTTTTATTTTCGAAAAATAAGTCCAAAGTAAGTATACATGATCTGGAAGTCCAATTGTCACTGGAAGCCACGTCTGCCTTAGTCACTACTGTTGCTCACGACCTGAAACGTTGCGTAACAACGTCCTAAGCTATGTGCTTAGGGAGGAATTCGGGTGTAACCCGAGATTTCTATTTTTATTGAAAACGGCCAAGCAATATAGTCAATATTATAATATACAAGCGACGAGAAATATCAATCAGATCAATCAGATCAATCATCGTGAAAATCAATCAGCAATCTCAAACAAATCCGTCAATCGTCTCTACGTGTATCTCACACGTAGGTAATTCAACAACTCATTCATGCCTGTGTCGAACACGAGGCGCAACAGTCCAAGCAAAATCGTTTGCGAGGACCTCAAGTGATCTTCATACTCCTCATCGGTCACCGATATCACGACTCTCGGTACCGATCATCTCCATACCCACTCCAGACATCGATCCCCGATGTCGTCGACTGCCGGGCAAAGCAGCTCTATGCTAACTCCCCCTCGCCGACCATCCGCCTCGGAAAATACTCATCAGACCCGAGCTCAAGTCTTTCA